AAATTAATAGAAATTTTTTACCTATTAATTTTGGCAACAATTTAAGCTAATAATTTGATATTATTTTTAGCTTGTTCTAAATATTAGTACGTATAACAGCCAAAACAGCAGCCCTCTTTTTACCTGTTACAAAAAACCTAAAAAAAAAATTTTTATAATTTTTTTGTAAGAATAAGTTTTTTCAATATTGTTAAAAATTAAAAAAATTAAAAAAATTATTTTTATAAAAATAAATATTTTTCTCCATAGTAAATGCTATGAGCCAACTTACCCCGTAAAAATTTTGTCAACTTACCCCGAAGGCTTTTTTTTCAATAAACAGTCTATAGATCCTGAAAAACGGCAACTTTTAAAAAAAGTCAAACTGAATATAGTAAACCAATTGTGGCTAGAACTTTTACAATAATTTTTTTTTCATTTGACTAACTATTTTCTTTGTAAAGTAAAAAGGAAGCGATGTTTCAAAAGTTACGTTTTTGTCCAAAAAACACTTAAATCTTAATATCTCCCATGCGCATGCGCGAATCCTGACAATACTACATTGAATGATGAAACAGTCAATTAGGAAGATTCTGTGTAATTTTTATCACTTTCTGATGAAAGGCTTTAAAGATAAACGCAATTCGTCAACTTACCCCTGCGGCCAACTAGCCCCGGTCTCCCCTAAAGAAAAATTTTAATATTTAACTAGGTAATAAATTATAAAAAACGCTCATTATATGCAATGGTTACATTAAAGTTGTGACTCAATATGAGTGATTTAACTAAGATCAAGCAACAAACAACTCTGGATAAAGTTAAAAACTCTTTTGAGCAATAAATAAATACCTACAAGAAATAAAAACTTAAATTGAAGTATGATACAAATAGAGATTTTGAAGTGGAATATAACCAATCTCAGTTTGTTTTTTATTGTAATGGTGATAACCCAATTTCCTGTTAATGCCATTGCTCGCGCCATTTTTGTTAAATAAATAAAAATCTTTTTTTTTCTTTAAAATCAAATTTCAATAATTAATTACTAAATTTACTAACAAAATGACTCAACAATTTAACAATAAAACCCAAATTTTCTTTTCTTTAATGTAAAACCATTTTCTTTAATATAAAACCATTTCAAAAATTAAATTTAAAATTTAATAATAAAGATACTTACTTAGGTCTAACCAAGCTAAAAAAAATTATAAAACATAACCATAATATAGCAGAAAATTAAAAATTTATAAATGAAATAATTTTTACCTATCTGGTCCATTGTCATCAATAATAAAATAAATATATAATCAAAAAATTAAATATTAAAAAAAAAACAAAGTATATTACCTATCTTGGAAGTTTTTTTTTTTATATATCTGCCTCGATAGACTATAATAAAATATATTTAAAAAGTATAAAAAGTCTTATAATTTTGAAAAAAATATTTTTATTTTCTTTTTGTTCTAAATATAAATAATGAACTTAATGATTAACTATAATACTCATAACTAACTTTTTAAATCTTACACCTTTGAATGCTTTTTTATCTAAATATAAACAAATATGAACACAAAAATGATATAAATATTTTATAATAGACATATATATATATATATATATATATATATATATATATATATATATATATATATATATATATATATATATATATATATATATATATATATATATATATAGTATATATATATATATATATATATATATATATATATATATATATAATAGAGATAGAGAGAGAAAGAGAGAGATTAAGATGTAATTCATATACAGTCTTGTGACATTGAAATGGAAACACTTTTGAAACTTGATTACTTTTTGTTTAAACAATATTTAACGATATTATTTATAATTTAATCACATATTTAAAGTAGTTAGCGAAAAAAAAAAGATTTATGTAAACAAAGCATTTTGACAAAAAAAAAATCAAAAAGATACTAAAGAAAGTATTTTATTGCTGGTACAACTTGGGTATTTGTATAGAACAATTAAGAAATTTTTAGAAAAGGAATCAATCAAAGTTTTAATAACCACCATTAGTAGAGTTAAAAATAACGTGGTGAGAATTAAAAGAAAAGATGATTTAAATGGCAAAAAAGTTAAACGTTGGCATTGACCATTAAAGCTAAATTTATGTTAACTTTTTCAGATGAAAAACTTATTAATAAAAAGACAAACCACCAATTATTTCTGAGTTATCTAGAAAAGTTTAAGATATCGATAAAGTCAATTAAATGTTACATTGATAAAATGTTCAATTTAAAAAAAAGTTTCAAAAGTATGTTCACGTGCATTATCACCTTGAGCAATCGAGAGGTTTACAAAATCAGAAAAAATTTATGGGTTTATTAAGATAAACTGGAAAAAAGTCATTACATCTGATGAAAAACTGTTCTACTTTACTGATTGTGATCACATATTTACATAATTAAATATCAAAAAGCACTGATCATAAAAAGTACATTATCATTAAAAAAAAAATTTCCAAAATCCATCATGGTGTTGGTTACAGGGTTTATTCAATAATGTAAAAGATATATGGATAAACATCCTTCAAGAACTTATAAATTAAGCATTGATGTCCTGGTCTGAACATTGTAAGCATGGTATAATAACAAAGGTCATCATATTGAACATTTATGGAAGAAAAAAAAAGAGGAATAAAAAAAAATGTTGCTTTTTAATTACGTTTCCATTTCAATATCACATGACTGTATATATACATATATATATATATATATATATATATATATATATATATATATATATATATATATATATATATATATATATATATATATATATATATATATATTTATATTTATATTTATATTTATATTTATATTTATATTTATATATATATATATATATATATATATATATATATATATATATATATATATATATATATATATATATATATATATGAATACAGACATATATATGAATATAGACATCAAACTTCATCAAACATATCTAAAATTAAAAAAATTAGTTTACCTTTAAGAATCCTCATCATTGTCTTTAAAACATTCTCAAAAATAAAAGTTTTCATTTTATATGTAATAAAATATAATAAAATCAGCTTATGTAAAGATGAAATATTAACGAACAAAATAAATAATTAGAAGTAAGAAATACCATAAAACTGACCAAAGCAGAGTATCTAATTTTATCTAAATATAATTTTCACAAAAATATATTTATATTTCACTTAAATAAGTACAAAAGCATTATGAAATGTGCAGACAATCATTCAATCGTATATATATATTCAGAAGGTAAATTTTCTTGGATATTTACAAATAGTAATAAAATAATAACTTGAAACACCATTTAAGTATACATTTAACATTACAAGTATACATTTATATATATATATATATATATATATATATATATATATATATATATATATATATATATATATATATATATATATATATATATATATATATATATATATATATATATTTTAACAAGTAGGTTTAGTAAAAGTTTACTATGTAATTATTTTAGATACTGCAAACTTCAATGTTTCTCCAAATAATCTGCTCATAAATTGTGATCGTATTCGCGAGGCTTGGCTAAGCGTCATTACACAGATGATGCCCCATTTTAATAACACGTCCATTCAACCTGATGACTATTCTTTTATTTTTCCGCAAATTGACACAGCTGTTAGATGGTTGAGTAATAATAAAGACAGAGACATACTCAAACCTGAGTTAGGTGGCCCAACAATACCGAAAAAAATGGCTGAATGTCAATACACTCAAGTGCTAGTAACCGGAAGTTTACATTTAGTTGGAGGTTTACTTAAGTATTTAGGTCCAAAGTTTTATAATCTTTTTTCTGAATAATGTTATAACTTTTACTTGATATTCGGTTTTAAAATGAGCGGAGTTAATGCGTCAAGTGCGTACTGCTTTTACTTTCTATTTATGTCAGACTATAATAATATGAAAGTATAAAATAGATGGAAGTTGATCGGCAGTAAAATTTAAAGTTAGCCCCACGGTACGATGGTAAACAATAAAAAGTTTTAAACAACATTGATTGTCAACGAGTTTCAACAAAAACATTAGCAAGGTAATTGATTGAAGCTACTTTTTTAAAAGTGTGTATTAGATCAAGCTGCTTTTGACCCGTTGTTGTTGACCCGTGGCGCAATATTTAATTAAAAACATTTGAACAATTTTGAACAACATTCCATTAAAAACATTTTGAAAGAAAAAACTGCTTAAACAATAATAGTTCCTACAAATTCCACGGAAATGTTTTTTTAATAGGTTTAAGAATTTAAGTAAATACAAACTTACCCTAGCAGCACTTACAAACTTATAACAAACTTACCGCAAACAAAGTGTATAATTATTATACTTCTTTTATATTAAAAAAAAATATATATATTACTGTGCTTTATGTGTTTCAATAAAAATAGTGGTGTGTTTTTTTTAATGCTGTATATAATTTAAAAAGATTTAAGTCTCATATTAAGTATTATTATATTTAAATATATTTAAAAAACAACAAATTTCTTTACTTATAACAAGTTTTTTGACGTCCCCAAAACAGTACACCCTAAATAAAATGTTTGTCAAAATCTACTATTATACGACAATCAAGGAAGTGAAATAAATTATAATAATCAATAAGTGATGAAATAAAGCAATGTGCGCCCCCTAATATTGTTTCATATTATTTATTTTTATATTTAGTTTGATTTTTGGTATTTAATTTTTAAATATTTGATTTCTTTTATAATAAAAACACTTAAATAATTTTTATAATAAAAGCACTTATAACAAAGTTTTTACGTCCCCAAAACAGAACGCTATCAGTACAGTACAAGTCTACTGTTTTTTTTTCGATAATCAAGGAGGTGAAATAATTCATAATAACCAATAAATGATAAAATACAGCAATGGACGCCCCCAATATTGTATCATACTATTTATTTTTATATTTAGTTTGGTTTTCAATATTCCGTTTTTTAAATATTTGATTTTTTTTTTTATAAAAACACTGCCGGAAATCCCTTTAAACATACATCCTAAAATACTCATAATAATTAAAATGTCGTTCAATGCTAAATGGTTAAGTGTTAATCTAAAATGTCACTCAATCAAGAAGTTAAAAACATGCTTCAAATTGATGAAAGAAAATCTCTATGAAAAATACGTTACAAAAAATTTTAGTTCTTATCAAGCCTCTTAAAAAAGAAAGAACTCTTCAAAAATTATTTTAAAAAAAAATGTAAACTACTTGGCTAATAATAATATATTGTTAAATGTATGCTAATAAAAATACTCATAAAGTTACATAAAAATTCATTTCTTTTCATCCTTAGACTCCGCTCAATTTTGTAGGTTCGACCACTCAGCATGCAGGATTTTTAGTTATATTTGTAGGTAAATTAAAAATAAGATTTTGTTTTGTTATTCTTGCGTCTCAACATTACGCGACGTTAGAATTATCTTGTTCTATCTCCACTTTCTGAAAAAATTCAGTTATTGATAGTGTTGTGTTCCTCAAAATAATGTCTTCATACTGAATTGAAATCTAAGTTATAAGTAAAAAAGTTGCGGAAAAAACAAGTTATATTAAAAAATTTACACACCGTCTCCTAGAGTTTTTGTTTTTTAATTCGTTTTATCTCAAAACTAAAAAATGTGGAGATAGAACAAGATAATTCTAACATCGCGATTAAAGTAAAGTTTTTCTAAAAGGAAAATGAGATTTTCATATCTTATACACCATACCTAATATCATAAAATTTATGCAGTTTTAGCTTGAAAAACTTTTTTTATTAAGAAATATTTAATATAGCACTTTTTTGCAATAAATAGACATTTTTTCTAATAAAAATAGACGGAAATTTATATATGGGCAATAAAATGAAAATTTTCAAAATCCCATAAGTATATTAAATAGAATAACCATAATATTTACTAATATAATAATACTAAATTTACTATAATACTACAAAAATGGGGAATTATACCAACTAATAATATTTTCCAGAAGGAATTATATCAATGTTCATAGGGAATGATGCTAATCTTTAATAATATCCTATGGGAATTGTTTGTGTACTAATTATTACATCGCATTAAAACAAATTGAAATACTAGATAACGCTGTTTTTATGTAAATACACGTGTACAAAACCGTAAAATTCAGAATTTACATCTATCACCTCTAGTCATTAAAAAATTAAAAAAAAGATTTTGGTAGCTATTTAGGACCTATAGAATGGGGATCAGTTGAGAGCACATTGAAATTTTAATAAAAGTGTGTTTTTGGGACACCCTAATATACATATATATATATATATATATATATATATATATATATATATTATATATATATATATATATATATATATAATTATATATATTTATATATATATATAACATACACACACAGACACACATAAGTGGCCAATATAATAACTTAACCTTAAACTAAAAGAACTATTGTATACATTTACGCCTTAATTTATTCAAAATAAATAAAAAGAATAACATTGCGAAAGATGTCATGCTATTTGTATTTTTGTAACAGGTAATATTTATCAAAACTAATAGAAATACCATATTTTTATATTTATTACAGCCACGTAAGCAACTGACAAATTATTCAATCATTTATATCAATATTTGACTTGATTTCAGCAAAGTTTTCTACTAAAAATATAAAGATTCGCGCGAAACATAACAATGTTTTGGGTTAATCAAGATGGCGACTGACTTTCAAAACTGGCTTCACCGCGTTTTATATTAAGTACGGCGTCTTATGCTTATTAAACCTCCTTGCTGTAAGGGATCGTCCATAAAATACGTACGCTCGAAGGGGAAGAGGGGTCTGCAAATGGCGTATATGAGATGAGAGGGCAGTGGGTCAATTATAAGAGAAAGGAGATACTAAATTAAAAAAAAAAAATCATAAAATGTTAGATAATTAGGTTAAAAGAGAGGTGGAGGGTACTCAAAAAAGCGTATTTCAAAATACGGTGGGAGGTGGACAAAAAAAAAAAAAGTGTACGTACTTTATAGACGAGTCCTAGACAGAAAATTTGTAATCTTGTTTACCATTACTACTATTACGAGAAATTATCACGTTTATGTTAGCGGTTCTCAACAAGTCCCCGGTTCCATGTCCCCACGTTCTTTTATTTTTTATTAACGATTTACTTTGGTAGTTTTATTATTATTTACTTTTTAAGTCTTATCTTGTAAACTTTATATTTTTTTAAATGCAATATAAAGCAAAAAAACAAAAAAGTTTTATTTTTCTTTGAAAAAAAAAAACATTTTTTTTGATATATGATTTTGAACAAAAATTCTTACTAATGACAGTAATGTGTATAATACATTCTGTAAAATAATGACGGTGCATATTATATTATCGATTTTTAATGTTTTCCTAATCACGGTTAAGTTATTAAAACAAAATTTATGACAAAAAAAATCAGTAAAAATAAGTTAAAACTCTTTAATTATAAGAATAGAAATTTAAAAAAACTAATACGGACGACTTAATAGACAGAAATGTACAGATTATTTACAATATACAGAAACTTGTTTGAGTAACAACTACGATTCTTTTAAATCCTTTGAATAATGCGAAGTAAGATATTTTTCCGTAACATCCGCATCATAGCAGTCTATTTCATATTGATCCTCAGGTATTTCAGTTTGCATTAAATCTCTCGTACGTTGAAGATTGATTATTTGAGACGCATTGATATGATCACTTAAAGAGTGCTTTGCAAACACACGTGGAGTCACATCGTTCTCATCGCTCAAAGAACTCGAAGCTTAAAAAAAAAAAGATAGTTTACAAACGCTTTATAAAATACAAGAAAACATTTGACTATAATATATAATACCACAAGCAGCAACCTAGTTTAAATAGTCCCGCACAATATTTTATTTCATACTTACAAGGGCTAACAGGCGACAAACGATCTGATGAGTCCGATAACACGTTCATTGAAGCACCCTCATCAGTTGTGTAAATATTATTGTTTGGCACTACTTGACTAGAATTATCCTCGCCCATTTGTCCTAATGTAGCCATTGGTATACTGACCGATAAATTAACTGGTATCATACGTCCTCTGCCATCAGTTAAATTCAAGCCTTGAGCACCCGCAATTGTTCCATCAGCATTAACCGTCACCTATTCAAATGTTGATAATGTAATAAATTTTCAATTATATTTTGAATTTCACATAAAAGAAAACAATATCGTATAAACTAAAAGTATAATTTAAATTAAAGTACCTGTATTGGAATTGCTATAGCACCAGGTATGTTATTACTATCTGATCTAGTAGAGAGGTTTATTTGTTGACTACTTTCCATTCCGTTTGCATGATTAATGACGAGTGACATACCCTGCAAGTAACTTGGAGCATCAACGTTATTTTGAGATCTGACTTTTAACATTTTACGAGGTAACTGAGCCGATTGTGCTAAAATAAGACATGTTAAGACCATAAAAATATATAGAATAACTTATTGAAATAATCATAAATTGTAAAGGTTTTTGATTGAAAAATAAATATAAATTTCAATCAACTTTTTTATAAATTTTTAAACTTTTTAACCAACTTTTTATAAATCTAACCAGCTTTTTAAAAAATTATCACCTATACAATATATTTAATAAATCACCTATAAAATATATACTAATCCATTATAGACTGTAAATGAAATTAACTTTAATAACTGCATACAGCACTTATTTATAGTTTAAAGCAAATTACTTATTGAAAAATAAAGATAATAGTAACGGCGGAAATTAATTGCTCACCCGTTTTTTCTTATAAAAACTCAATAAAGAAACTTTGTTAACAGAAAGTCAAAAAAGACATTAACCTGTTTAGCAGATAAGGATCGAGTATCTTTACAATGATTCCACTAGGAAGATAACCATCCAAGGTTAACAAGCTTCTGTCTTAACTCACAATTCAAGTCAATGATTAGCCAGGTCATCTTTTATTTGAAAAAAAAAAAAAAAAAATTGTAATGGCTTCTTCACTTTTCTTCGGATTTTTTTTAAATTGCCACAAATACATTATATATAAGTGCATTAAATCCAGTTGAACGAAGAATGGCTCCACTTTCAAACCAACATTCAGGACTAATTTTGCTTTTTAAAACTTTATGGATCGCATTTAGACTTTTCCCGAAAGATGACAAACATAAAGAGAAAATTTTAAATACGCTAGCAAAACATTAGCTTTACATTAGAGCAAAACATTAGAGTTTTCCACTATACTGATTGATAACTTAAAGCCTACTCAGAATTTATTGAAACAATGAATTTAGAAATCTATACCAAAACAGTATTAAAAAGTCAAGAATGGATTTCTGCACAGTGATACCACAACAATATGTTGCAGATTTCAAAATGTTCTAAACTAAATGCTTTTTGAAACTTTTCTTCTACCTCAAAGTTATTGCCTTCTTATTAACTCTCAATTATCAGTCAATAAGATTTATTGCTATACATAACAATTTCTGGGAAAGTTGTTTTTAAAAAACAGTTGTTTTACTGTTTTAGAATTTTGAAAAACAACTGATAACAGATGCTTTAATATTCTTTAAATTTGAAAGAATTTTTTTTTAAACAATTTCTTTTTTATTTTTTATACTTTTAACCCTTATATACATTTTACTTTTTATAATAGTATTTCAAAAAATTCAAGCGCTGATGATGCATTAAGGTGTGATCTTTTTATTGTACAGAAAATGGGGCACACAGAAAATACTCTTTTAACATTTGAAGATGTGGGCTTAGTTGTAAATGTATCATAAAGCTTTTGGCTATCTGTATATTGTCCTGTATTTACCTGAAGATTAATTTTAGCTTTTACCCATCTGAAGTTGTCCTGCCCAGAAAGAACTCCCAGAGATTCGTTTTCCATTAGCAACAAATAACGTTCTTATAGAGTTAAAATTGTTTTTAGGGTTACTGACAGTTGCTTTAATAATTTCAATATCGTTGACATCAAAAAGTTGAGATGACAACATGCCTTCATACACTGACTTCCAAAACTAAAACTTCTTAGGAGATAACAATAAATTAAAAAATCTTTATTTATAGATAGAAAGGTTGTTTTTTTATTTAATCATGAAAAATCATTCTTTTCAAATATAATTAAAACAAATTCTTAAAATTTAAGAATTTGTTTTAATTATATTTTAAATCTTTAACACCAAAAAAGTATTATAAATTCCGATTAAATACTTGTATTAGCAATTAAAAAACTTGAATAGATTTCAAAACAAAAGCAACTTAACAATTAAACCCAAGTTAACAATAATTTAACTACAAAAATATATTTAATTTCTGTAAATATTGTTAAGTAGATAAATTTCTTATTTTTTATTAGTTATTTTGTTTTAAAAGCGCAATAACTAAATAATTTTAACATTTTGGGATTAAATAATGGCAAGAAATATAGTACCTTAAAGTAACATAAACTATCTGTTAAGTATAATGTGGAAAAATCAGTAATCAACAGATGGAACAGCAGATACACAGAAAAAAAGAAGAAAAGCTATATTAGAATCCGCCCACGCTCATAAAAATTAGACAGTAGAACAATGGAGTCACATTTTATGGAGTGACAATTAAAATTTAACTTTCGTCATTCAAATAAAGAAAGATTCCCAAAATGCAAGCGGTTAAACTCAAGTTATACAAGAGCTGCTTTTAAACATGGTAGTGACAAAGGATAATGGTTTGGGGATGTTTGGTTTGATGATGGTTTGGGGATGTTTTTCAGGTTTTTCTGTTTAGGACCATTATTTCAAATCAACAACATTATGGACTGTTTCGTGTATTTAGATTTATCTTAAAGATATCATATAGAAATATTTTGAAAAAATAAATGGTTCCTTTTGCTGATGATAATATGCCTTTAAGGTGGCAATAACAGGCAGGACAATGACCTCAAACATACATCTAAACTTATCAAAACCTGGTTTAATACTTACCAAACCAGTTTAATGAAATGACCAGCTTACTCACCAGACCTCAATCCTATTGAAAACCTTTGGAAGCAATTAGACGATGCCATCTGACTGAAAAGGACAATTAGTAATGCTGACCAGTTGTAAATCGAGCTTAAACAAGCATGACAGGAAGTAAATAAATTACAATTTATAAAATGATTAAATTTATGCCATGTCATTATAGAGAAGTTATAAAAACAAAGGATGCACAATCAATTATTGATATTAAAATAATTTTGAAATAATAAATCTTACAAACAAGCGCGATTAGTAATGTTCTGAGTTTCCAAAAACTCTTCCAAAACTAAAGCAATTTTTAAAATGCTTTAGTTTTGGAAGTAAACAATTTTACTTTTTTTCAATGTTTTTTAATTTTCCTTTACATCTTTTTATCCTTTTCTTTACATCTTTATTATCCGTTTTTTTCCTAATTATTACCTACTATTTTTATTTATTTAATGGAAAATTTTTAAAATGAATATCATATCTTGTTTCTATATTTTTGTGTGTTTTACATATGACATTTAAAAGTTGCTTTAGTTTTGGAGTACACTGCAAGTTATTGCATCTTAAGATGACGTAATTATAGAGTTCTTACGATGGCGTAATAAATTTATGACATATATATTCCAGCATTCATTGATTCTAACCCTAAATTTATCCATCAATCTTTTGCTAATTTTACTTTTCATTAAAGAAAGCTTTTCAAACATGAATTCTAATATTCTGTAAGTGTTCAACAGTTTAAAATCTTCTAAGATTATCTACAGCTAGTTTAGCAGGTTTCATTGTCTCTAGTAAATTAAAACATACATTATCAACTAAATTTAAATTCTGCTTTTAATTCTGAAAAAATCTATCAAGTAGCATTTTTTTGTTTTTATCAATGCTCAAGCATTATTTATTTTTTGTTTCAGTAAGTTTGTATATCAAGATAAAGCTCAATTTCTTATCTATCAAGAGTTTTAGTTTTTGAGGGGGAAAAAAAAAAAAAAAAAAAAAAAAAAAATTGATTTTGAACTGCTGATGCTTTGATGTATTGTACCAACTTGCATGAGTTCTTTAGAAAACCTACAGAGGTATTGCATTTAAACTCATTATTTCTTGTTAACTAATGTGATAAAATCTTTTTTCTTTTCCTTTTTAAAGACATTTAGACATTACATTATTTCAACCACCTAAAGTGCACTGAATAAACCAAAATTCAAACTAATCCTAGTTTATAAGTGATATTGTCAGTTTTATCATGTTAAATCTATCCTCTTAACAATGTTAACTCTATCCTATTAAACTATTTTTTCCTTTTAAAGTAATAATTTTTTTCTTATATATTTACTTAAGCAACATTTACTTTGTTTAATAAACTTCTCTATAATAAATAAATTTCACAAGGTCACCAAACTTGTAATGACTCCTAACTAAATTGTAGTATAAATGAAAAAAAAAAAAAAAAAAAAAAAAAATTAAGAAGTTCATAAACAAAACTAATTTATATTATAAATTATAATTAAAATCGTATAATAATTAATTTAAGGAGTAAAAAACATTTATTAAAATAATAATTAATTTTAACTGAATATTTTATTTCTAAAAGGTTTACCTACCAATTTCTCCCATTCTTCTTTCAATTTCTGTTACTTCAGAAGTTCCATGAACTGTTCGTTTGTGCATAGCCAATGTAGAAGTTTGACGATATGTCTTATGGCAAAGTGTACATGTATATGGTTTTTGCTGAGTGTGCACTATGTTGTGTTTATACAAGCTTGAGTATTCTGTAAACCTTTTACAACAACCTGGAACTTCACAATGATAAGGACGCTCACCTAATTAATTTAATTAATAATAAAGAATCGAAATAATTTTTTTTGTAATACACATGAAAACAAAAAATAATTTAATCAATAACTAGATTTTAAAATATTTATAAAAACATTGTGGTTAGTAAGTTTGTAATTATTAAAAAAACATTATGACTAGTAAGTGACTGGGACCAAATATGAAATATTTTACAACCCCGACCACTACCTAAAATATCACAGGTTGGGATATAATGTGTAATACATTATATATTTATCTTTAAATTAGCAATTTATTAATATATTGGCATATAATAGGTATTTATATTTACCATTTATTTATATACTAGGATATAATATTAATATACATTCATACTGTTTAGTGACTCCATAACAAAACAATAATACATTATACATTATATCCCAACCTGTAATATTTTAAGTTGTGGTCGGATTTGTGAAATACTCCATATATAGTTGCTTATACAGGGAATGTATACCCCATATTTAATTCCCTATTATATACTATAGTATACCTCGTATTTAATTCCCTATGTAGGAAATGTTAAAGTCTCAGGAAAAGATAATTATCCAAACATATTATCTAGTAAATAAATAAAAATATTTATCTAAACATATTATTTAGTAAAAAAAGTTTTAAAAGTGATTATAAAAAAAGATTTTCAAGCAACAATTTTAGGTATTTAGGCAATATTTAACAATAGGTAATTGGTAATAACTCTTTTTTTTTTCATATCCACTTGATGATTTTTAGCAAAAATGAGAGTTAATCAAGAATAGTCGCAAGCTTAGCACAATTTAGTTATTGACTTGTATAAGATTAAATATAGTTATTGACTTTAATTAGGTAAATCATTTAGGTTGATAAAAGGAACAATCAAAATAGCATTTTAGAAACCACCAACTAGATTAAAAAGTACAAAACGTTCAGATATCTAAATAATCAACCAAATTCTTTTATTCGTCCTTGTATGAAATACTATTGCTATATTATGGCTAGGCTAAGCAAAAAACTACTTTAAGGATCAACTAATTGTCAAGAAATTATTAGTACTATAATTGTAAAGCTTTCATGAAAAAGATTTAGGAATTTAAATGAGCCAAAATCAATTGATAGATAGTGGATTTGCTATACGAAATCAATTGATAGGAGTGGATCAAAGACACGAGTTAGCGTAAGAAATACATAAACATGCTGGCATCATTCCAGTCTGCAAAGTTCATATCGACACTTGACATTGCCACATGGACTTAGCAAAACACAAAAGCTGATCTACCTTTACTACAGCATACAACTGCCAACCTGAATCTTTAAAAGTGTCAACATGTAAAAATAAAAATTATATTTATTTAATATGAGTTCATAATTTATTAACTGTATTTATTTGTAAAGAATTACTTAAAAAACATAATAAGAAACATACTCGACTTTACTTAAATTAAAAACAAGATAAGGTTTTTTATTAGAGCAAATAAAAGTAACACTACAGCAAACTCTAAAAAAGTAGTAATATGCCTAACAGAACAGTTATTGGAAAATGGGAGTTCCTGGAAATTGGAATATCTTGCGGCATGCAAACAAATGAATTTATTTATTTTGGTTTAAAACTTGCAAAGACTATTTAGAGGTTTTGAAAATTGTCACAAAAAAATAAAGACTGCACTAAATTAACAACATTTGTATGCGGAACACCAGCTATAAAAAAGAACAACTTTTCAGACCACATTTTACATTCTCATAGGCATGCCACAGCTGTCTTAAGATTTAAAAAACTCCTGATACTATTAACTCCAAGAAAGAAAGCTTGGCACAATGCTTAGAAAGTGTTCAATAAATTTGCAAAAAACACTGGAACCTTATTTAAGGCAGCTAAACACAATGTAATTAAAATAATAATCATGCACATTTAACACATATAGTCAATTTATAAATTTTTAATAGTATGTTTGTTATAATTTAATTTTTAATAGTCATAGATCAAGAAGCAAAAAATTTATAAAAAATGTGGTATCTAATTTTTTTTTGTTTTGATCTTACTTGCTTGGTCTGTAGATATAACATGTTTTTGTGCAAATATGAAGTTTAAAGATTTATGATGATATTGTTTTAATATATTAATTAAACATTCTATTTATTTAATTCATTTTATTTTAAATGCCATTTATGTAATTAATGTTATAAAAACTTAACTGTTTAAAACAGCAATACAAACAGAACGCTGCAACGTCACAAAGTTGTTTTACATTAACAAAAGCTCTTTATGTAGTCAAAACAACTTTGCAATTTTTTAAATTGTTGTTTATAATAGCTTTTTACAATAAAAATTCAATACTCTTTAAAATAACATGTTTTTTATCATCAGCATGTATTAAATAGTTTTAAAAGTGGTTTAATTATTGTAAAATTTGTTAAAATTTTTTTCTTTTTGCAATTAGATTTTTTGCAATAATTCGAGCCTTGTATATGTATGCATGTGTAAGTGTGTGTGTGTGTATATATATATATATATATATATATATATATATATATATATATATATATATATATATATATATATATATATATATATATATATATATATATATATATTAAAATAACATGTTTTTTATCATCAGCATGTATTAAATAGTTTTAAAATAAAAAAGAAAATTATACCCACTTGCTTACAAATGCTATCACCTCAACATACAAAAAATCGAATACAAAAATAAAAAATCAAATAAATAAGGTAAACTGATATTAAAAAAATCACAACGTTTTCGATAAAATCGACATTAATACATCTTCAAATTGTTTTTAAAATTAAAAGATCATAAAGAAAACTTTACAAATAATTTATTAAACCCTGCCAAAAATGAAATCGACAGAATTAGTAAAGTTATACTTTCTAATATAAACTCTGAACTTGTAAAGAAACTTCATCTCAATCAGTGGTAAAAAAAACCCAAGATACCACAAACTGGTTTAATCGCCTCAGTGATAAACGCCTTTATAAATTCCTTATTTTTGATATTGTTGATTTTTACTCTTATCTGAAAAACTTCTTAACAACGCTATTCATTTTGCTGAGCAGCATCTAAACATAGACCCTAACCACAAAACATTGATCTATCATGCAAGAAAATCATTATTATTTAACGATAATCAAGTTTGGATTAAGAATTCAAGCGGTTTATTTGATGTTTTAATGGGAGCATTTGATGGTGCTGAAGTTTGTGACCTTGTGGGAATTTATATTTTGTTTCAAATTGCACAGTTTTATGATAAAAATGATTTCGGATTGTACCGCGATGATGGTTTAGCAGTTTTAAAAAAACGAGTGGTCCCCAAATGGAAAATATTAAAAAACATTTTGTTTAAAAATTAAAAAAAAAAAAAAACTCACTATATCAATACAGTGCAACATGAAAATTATAAAGTATCTTGACGTCACATTAAATCTCAACGACAATACTTTTCAACCATATTCTAAGCCCGGGAATTCTATAAACTATATTCACGCTGATTCAAACCACCCGTCTAATATTTTAAAACAGCTTCCGCATTCAATTGAGTTAAGATTGTCTGCAAATTCGTCAAGTGAAGAAATCTTCCGAAGATCTACTCCTATGTACAAGAATGCACTATCAGGGCGCGAAAAATTGTTTTTTTTTAATAAACGTTGACGTTCGTTTCTTTATTTATTGACAAACGTCTAATTTTAGAGGTATGTTAAATATCCACCCCCCCTCCCCACACATACGCACTTTTTAAAAAATTTTTTATATATATTTTTTTTTATTTAAGAGAAATTCAAGATATAGAGGACTTTTTTCATTAATAGATAGTTGCGCAACTCCACTTCGAACCCGTGTGTGGGCCAGAATAAGCCAGTTTCATTTTAACTTCTTTAATTTTTTTTTTTTTAATTTAAATACATTTTTTTATTTAATTATAAGGGAGTTTTATTTTCAAATTAATTTTATTCTAGTTAATAAGATATATAATAATTAGATATATCAAAGATACTTATCAAATTTTATCAATTTAAAACAATTTTTCACGCATTTGCAAAGTGTGCGCAAATTAATGATAACTAATATGCAATAAACTTTTCAATGTAAACTGTTATCTATTAATTCAAAATAGTGAATTTTTCTCAATTTAGTTTGTTAAATTATAAAAAAAAGATATAAACTTGATAAAATTAAATAAAAGGGAACTATATAAAAATAAAATAAAAGTTATTTTGACATTTTTATTTTTTAAATATTTAAAAATAATATAGTATTAAGCATTTAATAAGTAATTAAATTTATAATTTAATAAGTTACTATCAAATACCTGATATGCTATTATTATATTTATAATATTAAGTATTTAATAAAAAAATATTATATTATTGGTTGTTGTTAAACGCACAGTAAAAAATGAAAACTATAATCAACATAATAGTTCTATAAAATCTATTAAATTTTATATATTTCTGCAAATTTTTTTTAAAAACTTTAAAAACAGCAAATAAACATTAATTTAATGATAATAAGAAAATTTAAAAAAAGCACGCCTTTGGAAAAAGAATGTTTTACCATGGTTCCGTTTAAAGTAATTGCAAATGCATTCATTTTAAGTTAAACTTGCCATTCTTTTGTAAACGCATGTAAAAACCATGCTAAATATAATTTTTTCTACAGTTGCATACTTAAAAGAAACGCTATTGAAGAAAGTATTAGCGCGGTTTCTTTTAATGTCATTGAAACTGCGTTTTAAATTTTAGTAACTTATTTTTTTTAATATTAATTATGTTTTTTTTTATAATAAATAAAAAACTATCAATCGCATAATTATTTGGAAATAAAAATTGCTGATGATATGCGTTTGTTTTTAAAAAATTTAAGCGAACGCCAACGCTTGCTTAAATAAAAATAAGGAAATGTGACGTCTTTTTTTAAACAAACGTTCGCACATTCGTCGATTTGTCGCGCCCTGGCTATTAAGATCCAGTTTTAATCACAAACTTTCATATCACCCTAATTTAAATTTACCACATACCAAATCATATGGTTCAACCCTCCTTTCATCAAAAATGTTAGCACTAATGTAGGAAAAAGCTTTTTAACTGTAATCAACAAACACTTCCCCATAAATCACAGATTCCACAAAATTTTTAACAGAAACACGATAAAAATAAGTTATAGTTGTATGCCGAATATTAAATCTTTTTTAAATGCACACAATCAACAAATTATGAACAACAACAAAATTCCACCTAAAACCAACTGCAATTGCCTTAATAAAAATACCTGCCTTTATCAAACCAATATCAATACCAAGCCAATATAAGTTCCAATAATCCTACTAACACTCTTGTCAACAAATCCTACATCGGTATAAGTGAAACACCATTCAAAATTAGATATGCCAACCATATAAAATCATTTAACATTCTAAAATACAAAAATGACACCGAATTATCAAAAGAATATTGGAAATTAAAAGATGCCAACTAAAACCCAGTTGTCAAATGGAAAATAATTAAACAGTGCAATGCTTACAACCCAGCCACGAAGTACTGCAAACTATGCACATATGAAAAATATGAAGTTCTATTTTCCAAAAATAAAAATCTGTTAAACAAATAAAGTGAAATGGTATCCAAGTGCAGGCATCGAAACAAGTTCCTTCTCGCCCTATTCCACACAGGTGATTGAGCGATTTTCTAATTACTAAAAAATTGTTTGTTTTGACGTCAAAACTCATACCATTGCTTTGTTATGGTTTTTTTTGTTAATTTCTGTATTTTTTTAACGTTTTTTTCTAAGTTTAAAGAATTTATATTTTTTTAACGTTTTTTTCTAAGTTTAAAGAATAAAATATGGCTGATGATTGCCGAAGGGCATGAAACTTAAAGTTTCATCACAAAGTTGTATTTTTTCAAATAATCAAAATCTTTATATATATATATATATATATATATATATATATATATATATATATATATATATATATATATATATATATATATATATATATTATACATAATAAATTTATATATTATACATAATAAATATATATATTATACATAATAAATATATATATTACACATAAAATATATATATATATATTAAACACAATAAAAAATTTAAATTAATGATAAAATATTTATAAGATATAGCAACATTAATGCAGCTATAATAATAGACCCATTCCCTGGCTTTGTTTTATCTAACCAACCACGACCTCAATTAAATATAAACCTATATTTACTCATTGCAGGGGGTATTCTAGACTCTTTTCTACAGCGCTGAGCATATTTGGGCGCCACCCAAATCAAAAATTGAGGACTTTTTTTTTTAAACATTTTTTACAGCAAATATTGTTTGTCTTTTTTTGCAAAAAACAAAACAAAAACACTTATATTCTGCAATATTTCACGAAACTTCTACGGAACAGGGGGTACTGTTGCCCAAATTTTTTCAAATAGAATAGCCCCTGCATTGTGGTATATATTGGAAAACATGTTTTTGACTGTAGTGGCCCACTCAGTCTTGGATGGCCACTATAAGGCTACTTTTTTCTTTTTTAAATTAAAATTACAATGCTCTCTCAACACTTAAAATCTGAAATGCTGAAATTTAGTTTTTTTAAACTTAACAACAGAAAACCCAGCTAAATAATTTTTCACTAAAAAAAAATCAGCTAAATGAACTTAAATGTAATTTTTTTTACCTGTATGTATTCTACAATGGTTTTTATAATTAGTAGCACTAGCAAACATTCTACCACAGCCTTCTATTTCACATTTATAAGGCTTTTCTCCAGTGTGCGTGCGTAAATGAACTTTGCGTATATTAGAAGTTGTAAAGGAACGATTGCAATCTTTATGTGGACAAACAAATGGCCGCTCTCCTACAAAAATAATTATGGTACAAACCTTGACAAAAACACGCTTTCAAATATTTTAATAACATCAAGACTAGATATATATATAAGCCAAAAACAAGTATGTAATAAATTATATACAATTTTAATTGCTCACCATTAAAATTTAAAGAAAAACTGTTTAATAAAACAGCAACTAAAAGTTGATGGGGCAATAATTGTAGATTATGGCCCAAAGAAGCCATAATTAAGGGGCCATAATTATACATTATAGCCCCTTAATTATGGCTTCTTAAGGCCTTAATTATAATTATTAGTCATAGAAGCTCAAACTGTGAAATAATTAACCAATAAATATGATTAATTATTTCAAAATTTGAAAATTTTATCCTGTTTTTTTTTTACAATTTGAAAAAAGTGTTATAAATATAAATAATGTATTAACTTTATTTTTACTTAATTTTAAAACATTACCTGTATGAGTTCTCACATGCTTCTGCAAGTCTCCACTTGTTTTAAATGACTTGGGACAATCTTCTTCTTGACATTTATAGGGTCTTTCATTAGTGTGTGTGCGGAAATGCGACTTTAAACCATACCCAGTTGTAAATCTTTTGTCGCAGCCTTCCCACTCACAAGTAAAAGGTCTTTCTCCACTGTGCTGCCTTCGGTGTACCTACAATTTAAATAATCATAGATATATTTAACAAACAAGAAAAAAAAGAAAATCTAAAACACTTTTTTAATCTAATGAAAATACTTTTAGGTGGTGAGCTGTTGTATATTCTTTTTTACAATACTCTACATCACAAATAAAGTCTTTCGCACCAAAATGTGTTTTAGTGTGTTTATGCAAGTCTCCAGTTGTAAGAAATGTCTTTCCACAACCATTTTCTTGGCAGTCAAATGTTTCACCTTTAAATTAAAAAATAAAATAACATGTGTACTGTGATGTAATATACTATAATATATGCTTGAACAAATACCTGAGTGAGCTCTTGCATGAGCTTTTAACCTGTATGGTGTTGTAAATTGTTTTTTGCAGTTTTTATTAGAACACTGATATACTTTCTTCATTACTTGAGTAGAATTTATTAGATTCTTATTTTTGGAACCATTATGAACTTGTTTTAAAATATACTGTAGCTGAGTCGTCCCATCAGGATTATGAGTTGTAGCCAACTGAATTGAGCCACCAAAATTCTCAAGTCCTAAAAAATAAAAAGATATAAAATATATAAAATGTATAAAATAACCAAAGCATATGCTAACAATTAAGTCAACCTTATGTTGAAGCCAAATTAGCATTTTTTATTCTTTTATTTTTAGAAGTCAGAAACTCAAGTAAAATCAATTATGATAAAAGCTTAATAAATACATCACATTTTTTAAAGAATCGTACAATAAAACAATCTTTATATAGACACAGAATAAATTGTGCAATTTTTCTAAACCTAACGCTAATATTACAATTTTACATGTTTAATATTACAATGCCTAATAATTTTAAATGAATTTTTTATAATCTATTTTTATAATGTTTAGTCTCAGATATAAAATCATAAAATATTGATTGTCATTAGGAAAATACACGTGTAGAAAGTTTCAGGGCTAATTAATTAAAGTGGTCAGATGACAAGTTCAGAAATTGACTTGGGTAAATTCAAACTAGATAGCAACTAGTAGTTCAGGCCAAGTTTTGATACAATTACACAAACAAGATAGCAAAAAAAAAAAAAAAAACTTTAAAAGTGACTTTTAAACTTAACAACAAATTATAATATAGCTATTTACAATAACTGTTTTAAATTATAAAAGCTTACAAAAAAGAAAAGAAAAAAAGAAAAAAGTCTTTGAAATAAAACCTGTATTAAAACATTAGTCCAATTAAAAAAATTTGAAAATAACAGAGAATCAGGATTTTATTAGTGAAATCTAATCCCTTGCCACAATGTTGACAATATATGTATTTCTTAAAACGTTTGTTTAAACATTGTAACAATATTAAAGAACCATCTTCACAGCAAACCAATATATATTTTATATATATATATTTTTTGATAATTCACCTCAAGGCCGAGAAGGCCACTACAGACGAGGAGGCTATATATATATATATATATATATATATATATATATATATATATATATATATATATATATATATATATATATATATATATATATATATATATATATACATACATACACAGTGGTGTACACTGGATTTTTAGATGCTTGAGTTTTGACACTTACACGCATTATACTAACTCCAAACTTTTGTATGTTCATACTTATGTCAAATGAGAATGTTTTGCAAAAAGTTGTGGTGATTGGAGCTTGGGGACAAAAAAACCCCAATTTTCATGCCCACCCAGGCCTTAATGAGGGATCAACAAGTTGATAAAATAATTTTTTTAGTATTTTTATCTAAGTTTATAATCATCAATAAATTTCAAATTTCATCCAATAATTTCTTATTTTTCGAAAATTATGACCTTATAAAGTTTTAACCCCCATCAATTTGAGGGGACTGTAAACTTTGTAGGGTCATAAAAACTAAAAACTAAGAGGTTATTGCATGAAATTTGAAATTTGTTGATGAATATAAACTTAGATAAAAATACTTGAAAAATTATTTTATTAACTTGTTGCTCCCACCATAAGGGCTGGGTGGGCCCAAAAATTAGGGTTTTTTTGTCCCCAAGCTCTTATCACCGCAACTTTTTGTTGTCCAAAAAAAGTCCAGTGTACACCACTGATATATATACAGATTTGATAAAATACGATACAAAATAGATATGATAAAATACAGTTGACAAAATATATTGTTTTGCCAACTGTATTTTATGTTGCAAAGGATTTAAGTGATGTGAAGACGATTTAGGTGAAAAGTAGAAAACAGACCAACAGCAATACTGAAATCAAAGCGTCAAACTAATTTAAGAAATGTCAAATACATTAAAATTAAATATATATTAAATTTAATTAATAAAATTAAATATAAAATATTGAAAAAAGAAAAAAAAAAAAAAAACCTGAAAGATAATTTTTTTAGCAGAATTTAGCCATTAAATTTAATAGACGGTTGAAAATATAGCATCAAAATGGGACTATTATGATAAAATAAATTTTCTTGAAAAAACACATGAAAATAAAAACAATTAAAGTGAAAAAAATGGTTGACAGAAGACTGTAAATTTTATAAGTCAGGAAACCATAAAGAAGAGAGAGAGCTGTCACAAAACTTCATTCAAATCAGCTTTCTATTTTAAGCAATCAAAAAGCTTTTGATGATATGTATCAACACTTTTTTGACTATATGCTCCAACACTATATTTTCTCATTAATAAACAAACCTTTATTTAGGTCATCAATTAAGATAGGTGTTGTACCGGACAAATTAAAAATAGCTAAAATTATATGGACATTTAAAAGCAGTGAATACATATTTATTAAATATCTAGAGACATATCTTCATACTTTCTCCAACTTTCTTGAACAAATAATTAATAAAAGATTATATAAATATTTAATTAAATACAAAATCCCAAATAAGAAACAATTCGGCTTCTAAAAGTAATACTCAACTGAACACGCTACTTAATAATATAAGTAATTCTTTTGATTTTTTTTTTTTTTCGAATTTCGAAAATTGTATTAAGAATCTTTATTGACCTGTCAAAAGCATTTGACACTGTAAACCATAACATTTACTTAAAAAAAAAACTACAGGATAAAAAGCATCACCCTTGATTGGTTTAAAAACTACTTTTGTAACAGACAACAAAGTATTATTTCAGATAAATATAAACATCCAAAACTATCATTAGATTGTGGTGTTCCTCAAGGTTCCATTCTTAAATTCCTACTGTTTCTGTTATATATTAACGAATTTGCTAAAGCGTAGAAAAAACTTGATGTAATAATGTTTGCGGACAACACTAACTTATTTTATTCCTCAAGATCAACTATAGACTGTTTCGAATGTATAACAAGCTTGAATATCTGAACATCTTATTGAAAGTAAACTCACTAAATACAGAAAAAACTAAATACATATTTATTCTAAAAAATAAAAGTGATATACCAAACATAGGCCTTCTCGTAAAAGGCGTGCAATCGAAAGCTTTATATGACCACGCATATAGTTCTTTGTTTTAACAACTTGACCACGGCTCTTTGCAAGTTTTGATAATTTGCGCGTTTAAAAAATGCGCTAAAAGAAAACAAAGCAAATGTAAATGCAACTTTTAATTTAATTGATTCCATAATTGCAATTAAACTGCCGCAAAATTTCCTGAATACTTTAATGCAACTTAATAAAAGCAATCGTTGAAAAAAATATTCAGATTAGAGTTTAAGGCAAAATGAGTACAGAAGCTATCAAAAAATAATTACAAACCTTTTTATCATGGAACTATAATTTCTAATAAAGAAATTATTTACTAAAAAAAATAATTACAATTATCTAGAAATAGTCGCATTTACCAACTATTTTTTATCCCAGGGCGTGACGTACCGTTTTTTTTAAAGAACGTTGACTTGCGTATCTTTATTTATTGACGAACGTCTAATTTAAGAAATATTCATTCTACTTAATAAGCTATCAAATATATCAAAGATGCTTGGTAAATTTATTCAATTGTTATTTTTCAAAAACTTTTTTTCACACATTTGCAAAGCGCGCACAAATTAATGATAAACGCACAATCAAAAAAACTTTTAAAAGTGTTTTTAATATACAAACAAACATTTCAGTTTATGGAAAATAAGAAAATTAAAAAAAAAAGCATGCACAATTTTATTTATAATGAAATCATTTGCTTTAAACCTTTAATGAAATTGCTAAAAGCAGAAAAGAAACCAAGCTTAAACTTTATGATCGCTTTCTTCAATAAAAGAAAGCAATCAAATTGTTTAAGGACGGTTTCTTTTGAAGTTTTTGCAAAAGCATCTCTTTTAATTAAAACTATCATATTTTTGTGAGCTCATGCAAAAACCATGCTAAAACATAACTACTCTTTTATATTTATTTTACTTAAAAGTGACGCTATTGAAAAAAGTAATTATGTTTTGGCATTTTTTTAAAAAAGTCTCTGAAATTAATTATTTTTTCATTTTAAATATGTGTTTTTTGTAATAAATAAAAAACTATATATTGCAAAATTATTTTGAAAAAATTGCTGAAGTAACGCGTTTGTTTTGAAAAATCTTAATCAAACGGCATAAGCAAAATTAAAGAAAGGTGATGTTTGTTTTATATATATATATATATATTGTTTTAAGAATTTTATTCTTTTTTCAGTTTATGGATTGTTTATTTTAATTTGCTTTGTGTTTTTTTTTAGCGCATTTTTTAAATGCGCTATTTATCAAAACTTGCAATGAGCCGTGGTCAAGTTGTTAAAACAAAGAACTATATGCGTGGTCATATAAGGCGTGCGATCGCACGCCTCATACGAGAAGGCCTGAACCATACTTCCCTCAGTAAAAATAGACCATATAAACATTGAAAGAACTGAAACAACAAAATTTCTTGGAGTAATAATTAATAGAGTAATAATGGAGTAATAAAAACCCATATAAATACCCTAAACATCAAAATTTCAAAAAAACATAGGGATACTCTACAAAATAAAATCTATTTTGTCTCAAGATAATCTAAAACCTCCTTATTTTTCCTACATCTATAGTTATCTTACATAAGCTTATATTATGGGACAAGTACCCACAAATCCATAATTATATTCTCTTCATATTAAACAAAAACACGCATCAAAACTAGTTTACAATTAAGATAAATTTACCAATGCTTAACCCTTACTAAAAGCCTTGAATGCACTAAATGTCTGCTAAATTATTATCTATCAATATTCTATTCATGCTTAAATATAAACTTGGGTTTGTGCTATAACATTTTTCAGATAATATTTTTCAAATTAACACAAAAAGATACACTAAAAGAGAAAAAGGAAAATTATCAATAAAAACAACAAAAGTTTTCAAGATTCTCTATTTCATACCGGAGTCCGTACCTTAATAACAAAATAATATCCAAAAGTATAGAACTCATAACAATAAATAGTATCACTTTGAAAAAAAAATTAAAATACTCAGTTCAAACTGTTTTATTGATATGTATTAAACATTTATGTGTACCACTTGTTATTGTTTAACAATGATGACCATAAACCATTAAAATAAGGTATTTGTCAATAAGACTCTTCTACAAGTTATCCTTTACAACAATGTATTTTGCATTAACAATGCTATTAAGTTTGCTGCTATAATATCTGATTATATAGATTAAATATTTTCAATGACAACCACAAGCAAGTCCCTAGTAGCCCAGCGGTACAATAGATTTGCATTAGCAAGTGACCAGGGTTATTATTTGACCGGGGCTGGGTTTGATAAAATATAGACGGGGCCAGGTTTGTAGCCGGGGCTGCATAAACATTTATGCAACCTAAAGTAAATTTTTTTTAATTCAAATTTCATGTTATAATTTATATATGCATATATAAACATCATTATGATCAACATGATCAGCATCATCATCAATATTATCATTATCATCATCATAAACAGCATAAAAGAGGAAGCCTGATGATGATGATCATCATTATTATGATGATGATAATTATCATAATCATCATGATCATCATCAGGCTTTAGCCTTTCTCTTTTATGGTGTTTCTCTAATATAAACAATTTTTTTTTCTTAACTAAAGTTCATTCATACAATATGAAAGGCACTTTCTTTAAGTTTTCTTACTTCTACCACTACCATTTTCTACTGAAACTGCTACATCTCTGCATGATGATACCTAAATTACTTTAATCTTTTCTAACAAACGCTTGATACAACATTTTTTCTAATCTGCCTAAGATTATGCCTCCTTTTCTTGTCTTGCTAGAGTCAAACCACACATCAATCTGATCATCTTCTCTTTCGGCAAATACTACACCATATTAATACTAAAGTTTATATAACAATGAAAGGATATTGAACGCATATAAATAAATAGCAAGCATATATGTTTATATCCACAATATGCATGCATGATGTGCACCTCAGAAGCTTTTATTTCCTTCTGGAATAAAATTTTGGAAGCTTTAATTATTTCTTTCCAATTTTAAGTCTCATTTTAAGTCAAGTCTCATTCTACTCCACATTTTTCACCATCTTGAGCAGTCGCTTTATTAAACATTGATCTTTTTTTTTATCTTTTATTACAAGAACATCTCTCTTAAGAACCAATATCCTTTTATTATTGCAAGAATCCAATATATAAAAGTCCTGTCTGATGTTAAGCTCTATTATTCTCATTTTACTAAACCTTGTATCTTATCTCAGATGTTAGGTTCTAGAGACTTTTAGTTAGTCTTCAAGAATGTCATTAACTAAAGTAAGCCTAACATTTAATCTCTTATTCAAAGGTCTGATCTTTTTACTTCTCCCCAGAATAAAGCAGAGTTATTTGCAAAGAGATCTCTGTTTTGACTCTTGAATATAACAACCATACTCTTCCTGACAGTTAAACAGATTAACTAATAGTTAAACATCGAAATCATTTCCAATGCTAAAGTTAATTCTTATTTAAACACTTCGCCCATAGGGTGACTAGGCATAAAATTAATGTAAATTAGCCTGTGGTCACCGTGGGACTGAACTGAGTATTTTCATTGTGACCATTACTAGAAAAATTATTATCCAAGGTTTGCAAGATTATATCCATATTTATTATTAAATGGAGATTTCATAATGAAGTTAGATGATTTGCCTTCTAGATGAATTGCCTTCACAATAGCTAAAAAATTTAATAACATATTATAATTTATTGCATAATATAAACAAATTAATTAGTTATCATAAAATTTATTTGGTTGTAAAAAACAAAACAAAAAACAAGAATGGTAAAAAAGGTTACTAAAACAGTAATTAAAGGTAAGATTTTACATGGAAAAACCTTTAAAAAAAGCAATCCTTTAAGAAACATCATATGAATCAATATACCTACAAATTTCAACTAATGAGAATACATACAACCTTGTCAATGGATTCAATGACGGCAATAATGATACTTTTCATGTGTTAGAAAGATTTCTAATTGTAAGGTCTTTGGATATGGAAAATAATTAGATGGTAACTATACAGCAATTGTTATTAAAAAAACTAAAGGCCAGGCATGGTAAGAAAGCGGATGTGATTGCACTCTATGCTTGACCACAAATTTAATATTTAGTTGCAACACCCTTTCCAAGACTTTATAGAGATTTTCATAACATTAAAAAATATTTGTTTCCGTGTATGTCTGAAAAATTAAATTTTATCACGCTAAAAGAATTAACTACATAACATAAATCTTTTGCAATCAAATAGGTTTATATTTAGCAAAATACTTAAACAAAGAGACAATTTACTATTATTGAATGTTTATATATATATATATATATATATATATATATATATATATATATATATATATATATATATATATATATATATATATATATATATATATATATATATATATAAGCATGAGTAAGTTTTGTTAAAAAATATATAAAGTTTAGTTAGTCATATAAAAATAGATTAATTTTGTATTATTTAAAATAAATTTTATGACTGATTTTGAAAAAATAATACTTTTAACCACTATTTTATTTTTAATGAAATTTTATTGATGATTATAGTTATTAAAGTTAATAAAATTAATAATCAAGTAAAAGTACAGGAGCTTATAAGTAAATAAACACAAACATACATATAAACAGTGAATGTTGAGTCGATGAACATCGCGCTTAATGTTGGAACTTTAAATACTAATTAAACTAAAAAAACCCCACTCACTAAACATTATTGGTAGTATTGTGAAGCAGTCATGCATCCTCTTCATAAATTATTTTTACCTTAGTAGTTTAACTATAAAGTTTGCTGTCAAATTATTTGATATAATAAAAAGCAGGCTTTAATTTGCAAAATAAAAATATAACTCACTTAAAAAGCTCCTAATACATTAATTTATAATTTATATTTAAGTATAATATAATATACCAATGGATTTGATAAAATAAAACATCAAGTTATTAAAAGTATACTTGTCAGCAGTTTGGATAGTGATCATTGTAGACTCCTGATTTAGGAATTTTTTATATACATTTTAAAGACACTGCTAAAAGAAAAGAATGTTATAATATTTCTATAGTAACTCAACGATTATTTCTTTTGTTTATCTTATTCAAGAAGAATAGTTTCAAATATTTGAAATTTTGCCAACTATACAAAACACGAAACAGTTATGAAAAATATTATAAAAGAGCTAAGTATAAAGTAATTTTTATATCCATAAGAGATATTCAAATGTAATTTATTTTGTTAAAGTTTTTTTTCTTGGTAACTTTTTAAATTATCATCTGCAAGGGTTTGTCCAAAAAGTTTTTTGAGCTTTTAAAAACATTTTAAAAGGGCACAAAAAAATCTTGACTCAAGGATTGTCCATAAACTATACAACGCTAAACTTATTTAAAAAAATAGAAGTTAGAGATCATTTACTTTTTTGCGCAGCAATTTTCATTGAAATTAAAATGCCATTTTAATTTTTGGTTTAAATAAAGATGCAGCAAGAGAAAACCATTAATCTTGTCTATTTTGTCTATTTGTTAAATTTAGTGTTTAGAGAATGTCCATAAATTTAAAGTAATTTGTCTATTTGTTAAATTTAGCGTTTAGAGAATGTCCATAAATTTAAAGTAATTTATGAACATTCTCAAAGTCAAGTTTTAATTGTGCATTTTTGAAATGTTCTAAAACCTCTAATAACTCTTTATAATCCACTATTAGTCTAATTAGCAAATGATAATATTTTAATAATGAAATAATAATTTAACAAGTAGAACATGTTAGGATTGTTAACTATTAAAGAAAGAAAAAGGAAGTTATATAGTATTATGTTTTAAATTATTTTGAAATAAAAATATATCAGTAATAAAAAAAACTAACCAGGAATTTGTTCAATCGTGTTTTCTCCAAGAGACAATATTTGTCCATCAGGTGACATAATAGTGGTTATGTTTGAATCACCCAGCGAAACAATACCATTAACACCATTTAATTCAGTAGAGTAACCTCCATTACTTGATATAATTATTTGACCTGTTTGACCATCCTCCGTAACAAAAGTTGTCACTAGTAAAAAAAATAAACTGCTATAAAAAAATAAAAAACTTAAAACAATATTTTGATGCTTTATAAATTTAATTACCTTCATATCCTGATGTGGAACTAAGATGCGTAGATAGATCTGATGATGCGAACGAAGCATAATATGCTTCATGCTCTGATGAAAATTGTGAAGCATTTCTGCTTTCTAAACAGGGACAATATTTAAAAAACTATTTTAATGCATTAATTTTATTTAAAAAAATTTTTCTGAAATAAGAATTAAGCAAATTATTTTGCAAAATAAAAAAATTACTACTACAAAAATACAAAACAAAAAGATTTTAACAATGTATTTAACAATGAAAAAGTATTTAACAAAAGTATTTAACAATGAAAACTAAACAAAAAAATATTTTATCATTGTTATAAACTCCAACTTTTAAACTCCAATTATAAATAGTTATTTTTAAAGAATTTTTTTTTTAAAATAATGTTGAAAGCTTCATAAAAGTTTCAATACTTAATAAAAATTGTTTGCGTATAAATGTTTATGTATTTACTTTATCTGTGTTTCTTTACTGAAAAAAATAAACTTTCCTACAAAATTTAAATATATTTACCATTTTCAGAGGTTGTGCCATGTCCCTAAAACATCATTACAACAATTAGCATTTTCATAAACATATATATATATATATATATATATATATATATATATATATATATATGTATATATATATATATATATATGTATGTATGTATGTATGTATGTATGTATGTATGTATGTATGTATGTATGTATGTATGTTTGTATGTATGTATGTATGTATGTATGTATGTATGTATGTATGTTTGTATGTATGTATGTATGTATGTATGTATGTATGTATGTATGTGTGTATGTATGTATGTATATATGTATAGATATATATAACCCTCTGAATTAGGGTTGACATTTGGCAATGGCTAACTTAAAGTGTTTGAGGTCAGCAAATATTTTCTGACCTCGTTTTTATGTTTAATGATAAAGCCTTTGTAACAATTTTTTTTGCCGACCTCAAGAAGATTGAGGTCAAAAATTATTGCCGACCTCATTTTTCCTAATTCCGAGGGTTGTGTGAGTATGTATGAATGCATGTATAAATATATATAAATACAAATATATATATATATATATATATATATATATATATATATATATATATATATATATATATATATATATATATATATACACATGCAGGCTTTTTTATGAATAAAAAATTGTGTAACGAAGTTTTTGACATAAAGTTATTTATACTTGCTTTTCGTACTTATGGTCATTAATTTTTTTGAAATTTACTAAATTTCTGCAAAACTAGTTCAACTCAATAAATGTATCTTTTAAAGCAATTTTTATGATTTAAACAAAGACTTACAAAAATAATTGCGTTTTCAATAAAGTTATAATCGTTAAAGTTATTAAAACTAATCATGTAACACATATAAGAAGTTTCTGGTTATTAAACACAAACAACGCATACAAAGAAACTCGCGGATGAACAAGCACCGCACCTGAGGTCACGACAGAACACAAATATATATAGCAAATAATTAGATATAAAAAAAAGTTTCTAGATATTGGTTTACTAACTCTAATTATTTTCGCTTCATTTGCCATTCTTAAAAACTCATTACACTTTTTTCTGCTTTAATTACTAATTGAATTACTAACTAATTAAAAAGCCTACTCACTAAACATCAGCGATATTGTGAAGCAGTTTCGCTTCCTCGTCATATTTCTAACCTTTTTAGTTGATTGTTAATTTAATGTCTATAGTAATTCAATGATTTAGTTATTTCATTTGTTTATCTTACTAAGAAGAATTGCTTCAAATATGTTAAACTTTTCAAACTACGCGAAACATAAAATAGGTATTAATAAAAATTAGCTTTTTTATTTATAAAATAATTTAGCTTAAATAAAACTAAAACTTGCAAACTTTGTTTAATAAAGAATATTTGTTTCCTTTTTAAACAATCGTAAGAAGTTACTATAGATAAAAAACATTGCTTAATTTTATAAAATTTTTTTTGTAATTGTCTCTCATCGGTCCAATTAATCTTAAGCGCTTTTTTTTTTTTTGCTTGTTAAAATGTTCTCAAAACGGCTAAAAAATCTGGCCTGCTTTTCGCAACTAAATATTATTTACGTGGTCAGCAATCGAGAGCGATCGCTCCCGCTTCCCGACCAAGCCTGCAATATTAGACAAACATCAGGCCTTGTTTTAAAGCGTTACGCCTAGAGCAATTTACGTACGCCTTAAGCAATTTTTATGTACGCATAGAGCTGTTTTGGTTAAGCTACTTTTTATCATTTTTTAACTTTTAAATTAGCGGTAACATAAAAGATGTAATTAATTTTTAAAAAAACCACATTAACTTTTAAATAACGATATGTAAGGATAATTATTACAAAAAATTTCGTTAAAAGTAGTTGTTGTAACTTTTCATCGCGATATATCTTTCCTTTTTATAGCAATTAATTTGACACTAAACTTTTTATCCAAATATTTAGCAACATGAAAAATTCGTTCGTCAATCCTTAACTACAATTTTTTTGCAAATGTTTTTAATAAAAAGTAGTAATTTTTTAAAGTTTTCAGTAAAAAACATTAAAAAAAATCTATATTCCAAATTTATTAATACAGAGTATAAATGTTTTTTGTAATATAGATTTTTTAAGAGTTTTTTACCGAATTTATATTTAAAAACATTTGTAAAAAAATTTGTAATTAAGGATTGAAATTTTTTTTAATATCTCAAAAAATGTCTTAATATTTTTGTTATCATGATAAAAATATCAAGACATTTTTTCGAGATATTTAGAAAAAAAAAAGGGGGCCAATGAATGAACAATTTATTTGTATTTTACTAAAAATTACTTCATTAATTATTACTCTTTGCTTTTCTTATTAGTTAAAGGAATATAGATACCTTTACCTTTAAGTTATGCGGGGTGGGGTGGGTGGGGGGTGGGTGATGACACTAATATTACGTTGAATATATTTATATAACAGAGGTTTCATTATGCATGCGCACATTACAGATTCCATTGAACAACTACTAAGGCACGTTTTACTTTAATGACAGTCTCTATTTTTTACTAATGACTATGTATTTTTCTTTATAAAACAAGACAAACTAGTATATAAAAATCTTGTATATTTCTATTCTCTCTATATTGTTCATAGTTCAAATATGGATTGTATTTTGAAGGACAAAAGATTTACTTAAAAAACTATGGAAGTACTTCCATGGAAAAACTTTTAAATCTTGGGACTTTGCCGATGCTTTTCTAATTGAAACTATCACAGAAAAAGACTTACGTTATTAGAAGACTTACGTTATTAAAATCAAATGTAAGTTATGTGATCTTCATCAAAATAAATTATTATCCAAAAACAATATTGCCGTAAGGGCAGGTGCCCTACAGTTTATAAATAACACAAGTCATGTTAAAATATTTTAACATATTTTATTTAAGCTGATATATAAATAAAAATAAAAATATAGTTCAATAAATAAATTAAATTTTTTCTTAACAAAGATTACCTCATTTATTCTTTTTTAATTTTATTAAGTTAAATTGCTTACAAACAAACAAACAAAAAAAAGAGTTTTGTAATTATACGTAGAATGAAAATACTTTTGAGTTTGTTTATAAGTTAAGGAACTTAATTTTTAATAAACAAATTTCTACGAACATTTATTATAAACAGATACAATTCAAATTATTAAATATACTTGTATTATTTTAGTTGAGTATTTTTTTAAGTTTGCACGATTATAGTTTTAGGTAGAAGTATTTGTTTTTTGTTTTAAGAATAATTAACAAAAGAGTTTGTATAATTAAGACTTTTATTTTTAATTTAATTTCCTAAAATAAAAAATAAAAAAGATTTAATCGTTAAAAACCATTTTTCTCTATAGCTCTGTTTCTTTGTGATTTGTTTAAAATATAAAACATTTTTACAATAACATAAAAAATTTATGAATTAAATTCCTGGCGAACGCGTTTTAAACTATGTATCAAAAATATGCTCAAATTAGACAAAACTTTTTTATATTTTTGTATAATGCAAGTTGAAACGCTAAGCAAGATAAATTTCAAAAATATTTAAAAACCTAAATTATTCTTTGCTAGTCAAAACAAAATCGCTGTTTAAATAATTAACATGGGTTTTTGTTTATCTATGTTAATATTTTTTGTTTACTCCATAAATTTTTAAAAATAAAAAAAATCATTATTTTTTATTCAATAAGGATTTATAAACAATAGGGTAAACTGGGGTAAAGTGAACGGTTTTTGATATTTAAAGGAAATATTTTCAAAATAAAAGCCAAAACATTTTGCAGTTTACAAAATTTATACCATTTAAAGTATTAGATACAATATAAAACAAAATACTAAGATTATAAATTATTATTACAATATTAAATATATATTCAAAAAAACATGTCCACTAGTTCACTTTACCCCCATATTGGGGTAAAGTGAACTACTTTATCTTTAACTCTTTTGTGTTTGTTATTTCTGATAAATTAGTTTTTTTATTTTGTATTTTGCCTTGCTGCTTGATCTTTCTTTTAAAGCATTCATTTTCTTCATCGATTAATCTTTTAAATGCATCTTCTGATGTAAGACAGTTTCCTCCATAACGTCTTTTTATTTTTTTTTTAGGTCGTTTGTTGTATAAACGAGCATCACCCTTTGTGGCCATTAACTGTTCTTTCACTATTTCTCTTATGATTTTCTCTTATCCGCTCTTTATACAAATTCTTACCAGCAAATAAAATAAATGGAGGAAAATTTCTTCCTGCAGCTGATATTGTTGCTAGTACAGTAAACTGCTCTTTTCCTAATCCAGGAACAATAGTTACAGGGTTTTTAATACCTCTTTTGCAAATAATTTTTTTATTTATTGGGTTAGTGCAAAACCCACTTTCATTGCGGTTTAGTATTTGGGCAGATCTATTCATGATGTCACCTTTTTCCAATGTAGCTTTAAGTAATGAAAACCAAGCATCAATTACAGTTTTGTTACAAGCTAAGGCTCTTGTTAATGTCAAAAGCTCTGGAGTTCTTTTAGATATTTCTTTCTGCCAACGATTTAAAAAATTACAAAACCACTGATCACCAGCACTGAACACCATTCACAAATTTTTTCTGAAATTCGTTTATTTTAATATACGTTTGAACAAGTTTCATAAATTGCTTTTTATCTATTTCAAATCTAAAATCAGAAAATGCAGATAAAAGTGAAACAAGATCTTTTTCAGCATCAGCAGATAATCGGTTTGGTCGCCCTTCACCAACTTTTGAGCATTTTATGCCTAGAAGATGTCTTGCAATTGTACTTCTTGGAACAACATATTCTTTTGATGCAGCATACGAAGACATTTCTTTATTTTTAACTTTCGAAATGGCATTTTGCAACAAATTAGGTGCATATGTTTTTCTTCGAGATTCTTTTTTCTTAATATAGTTTCTTGGCATTATTTCAATATATTATATTTCTGAAAATAATTTTAAGAATATTAAAAAAAAAAAAAAAAAAAAGTAAACAATTTAGTTAAGTAATTATGATGTATATATTCAGTTCTACTATAAATATTTGATGAAAAAACATAACAAAAAGACTAGTTCACTTTACCCCCAATAGGCAGAAAAACAAGGGGTAAAGTGAACTAAATTGATTTACAAACTAAAAGCTTAGCTTTTTTATATTATGATAAAAACTACAACTTTTTTTAAGCAGCGTTATATCATCTTTAAAGTTTAAATAAATTATATAACTGATATTCACATTAATAACAACAAATCATGAATTTACTAAAACCTATCGCAAAGTTTGAGATCGTAATTTTAAAACTTCCGCCAAACTTGCTTTTTAAAATGGCTATTACATCAAAACAAAGGCTATATTTTATTAAATTTTTTATTTAAAAATTTTAAAATGTTGAATTAAGCAAAAATAATGCTAAATTACTTAACAAAATGTTTATAAAACATGATAACTTTTTAGTTTAAAAAAATAGTTCACTTTACCCCAGGTTACTCTAATTATTCAAAAACAAATTTCAGAAATAATTAAAAAATAAGAGTATTTGTATTATTTTTATTATACCATAATAATACATTTTCTATTTTGTGTATGTATATATATATATATATATATATATATATATATATATATATATATATATATATATATATATATATATATATATATATATATATATAATATGACAATTTTTTCGAAAATTTTAAAAATCGAATCCTTACTTATTTTGTTTTTATTGTGGGTATTTTAGATATCATCAGTGCTCAAAGTGAGGCAGGATGGTCATCTTTTTTTAAAGAACAAACCATGCTGCCACTTTTTTTATATTTCTTTTAACATAAAAATGGCTAGACAAGATGATAATTTAAATTTTTGAAAACTATTTTGTTTCTTTTTTTTATATACATACATCATTATAAAAATACTTGTCTGTTTGAAAAAGACAAAGCTTAGTTAAATATGTATTACACTTTCTAGTAACTTTATTTACACATCATTTAGTAAATCGCATTAATCTGAAAAGCACTTTTTTGCAAAACTTACCTGGTCATTAGCAAGTTCATCTTTAATAAGTCTGTTTTCATCTCCATAACTGGATGAGTCATTTCGTCTTTCGGCTTGTTGTTTTTGCTGAGATAATAGTAAATTCATCATTTCCCCACCACCTGAATTTTCATTATGATCATTCATTAATTGATCAGATCCAACCAAAGATTCTAAAAAAATCAACCATTTATCTCATTTAACTTAATCTAATACTGCTGAATAAAATCTAAAATCATTAACAACATTAATTTAAAACATCTAGAACTTTTTTATTACCTTCAAGGCAGTTATCACTAGATTGGCGTTCTTCTATCTTTGGTTCCAAACCAACAGTACCATTGATAGTTATATGTTCATTGTTTGTGTCGTTAAGTTCATATGTAGAATCATTGTTAAGATGGTGACCACCTGATATCATAACAGTAGACAAACTTCTTGCCATATAAGCTAAAGCATTTATAAAACATTATATATATATATCAGGCCTTGTTAAGAAGCGTTACGCAGCTCGCATTTTGCCTGCGAAAAGGCGATTTGCCTACGCGTTCAGCAGTTATGCGTTACGCAAAAACTTTTATCTTTAAGAATATTTAAATTATCTTTTTATATCGTTTATGTGACGTTCATTCAGAAGTATTAAAGTCATAAATAAAAGCATTTAACCGCAATTGTGAACTAATCGATTTTTTGTTAAAGAAACAATTTGTTTAATAATTTTTTTTTTATTTTTAAAAATTACTTAAAGAAAATAAAGTGTTTTAAGTTTAAACTTTTCATCATATTTAATTTTAAATATTAGATTTCATAAGTTTATAAACAATCAAATTTAAAAAAAGAAATATTTTCAATTTATTTTAAAATTTAAATATTTTTTTAATAATTATAGTTTTTAGTAAATAAATTTATTAAGTTTAATTAAAATTCTTTCATTTAATTTTAAAACAAAGCATTTTAAAATTTTTTAATTTTAAAATGCTCCGTTTTTTTTATAAAATTACCAAAGTAAAAAAAGATTTGATAAATTTAATTCAAGTTACTTTAAAATGTTCGTATTACATATAACTTTATTTTAATTTTAGTTAAGTTTCAGGTAAGTTCCAAATACTGGTCTGAAAGATGCGCTTACAAAAGTGCATTATTTTCTAGTTTTTATTTTTCCATTATTTTACAGTTTCATTCATTATTTACAGAAGGGCATTATTCATTTTATTACTACAAGTTAATAAATGACGTCAATACTTTTAAACTCGAGTTATAAATGTTATGTTTGGGTTTTCCCTTTGCCGTTTGCCAAAGAATTTTTTTTTATAAAACAAACCAAGGACGTATTAACAATACGTCCTTGAACAAACTAAAATACAAACCTATTTAAAATAATGTGATCAGTAAATAAACTCTTTAAAAACCCAACTTATCTTTATTTTATTTTAAAAACAAATCTAGTACTTGAGCTATAAATATAAGATACATAAATTTCAAAATTATAATGATATTTGTTAAAAACAAATTCTGCTTATAACATCTGAAAACCGAAAACACTATTTTTTTTTTGGATTGAGAAAAAAAATATTAGGTTTCACTGTACATAAAAATAAAATAGTTTAATGGAAATAAAAAAAAACAAAGCCGAAAAAGCAGTAAATTTCGTTTCTTTACAACATTTATTAAATCAAAACAAACGTTTTTTTTTAAAAGGGAAAACCTAATCTATGCGTTTAGTTATAAGTACATTTAAATCTCTTTAAGAAAATCAACCATAAACAAGTGTTAAATTTAAATTATTTAAAAAAAAAAAAAAAAAAAAACAACCATAAAACAAATGTTTAAAAGCAAAAAAATAAAGTTTAAATAAGTATAAGATTTTAATACAAGAAGACTTTTTTTTAAGCAACATTGAAATTTTTTTTTTTTATAACAACATTGTACAATTTAAAGCTATTTCGTTTCAAAGACTAACAATAGTTTTTAATGTCGTTTTAAATTTAATTACAATGAAGTAAAAACGCAACTGACGAAAATTAACTTTTAACAATGTAAATATTTTTATTGAGTAAAGTTACATTTATTCACGTTCAGCTTTTCCGTTACGCAGCGAAATCTCGTAACAAGGCCTGATATATATATACATATATATATATATATATATATATATATATATATATATATATATATATATATATATATATATATATATATATATATATATATATATATATATATATATAACCCTCGGAATTAGGGTCGGCATTCAGCAATGACGACCTAACTGCTGACTTGAAAGTGCTCGAGGTCGGCAAAAAAATGCAGACCTCATTTTTATGTTTTATGGTCAGACCTTTATGTCAAATAATTTTTGCAGACCTTAAGCCGACCTATTACAGTTTGAGGTTGGCAATTTATTGCCGACCTCATTTTTTCTAATTCCGAGGGTTATATATATATATATATATATATATATATATATATATATATATATATATATATATATATATATACATATATTTGATAACATTAAAAGTATTAAACAGTTTATGAAAAATAGTGAAACGTTTTGGCTTTTTGGAAATATTATTAAAAATACTAAAATCTCAACATCTTGGGCATGACTAAATGCTTAAAATTGTTTCTGTTTGAAATTTACCACTAGCGCACGAAAAAGTGCTGGCCGGACAGCACTTTTTCAATTGTTTGTCTGGCGTGCGCGATTTTAAAAAATATTTGTTTTTTGTACTTCTTTAATTAGAATTTGATTAAAAAAAAAAGATTTGTTGCAACTTAAAAACACGCTTGAAATTTTTTGGCAAACGCCTAAAAAAGGTCCAGCCATAGTATTGGCAGGCGTGTGGGCGAACGCAAAACTGCAAGAGCATAAAAGCGCTCATCAAACGGAGAAAACTAGTCCTTATAAAACTCCTTAAAAAATCCAGTACAAAAATCTTATTGTCTTATAGTTAATTCCATGAAAATACAGGAAAAGATGTAAAGTTAAACACTACAAAATAAAAAAAAAAAATTATATATTTTCCACAAGGCATTTCTGAGCTTTATTTCCTACATAGTGTCTAAACTATATGAGCATTAGTCAATGAAAGAGTTTAGAAACTACTATAAAAAAAACTATTTTTATTTATTTTAAAAAATTTATAAAACTACTATAACTATTTATAAATAATATATATAACTACCATAAAACTTTAAAAAGAAAATTTTATAATAATATACACTGAATATGTTTTTTTGAGGTTTATTTTTGCAATATGACGAATTGATTTAAAAAAACATAATCAATATTAGATATGCATAAATCCAACTTTAACAGAACAGTTTTCTTTGTCCAAATTTTATGCATGGTATAAACATGTTCTGCTGTGAAGTTTTAGAAATTCGTATCAACATAAACATCCTGCAAAATTCAGGTCGGTAATTTGTTTTTTGCTGTTGCAAAAGCCCACCTAATGTTGCTTTACAACGGCATACAACTGCGGAACTGAACCTATTAAAGTGTTGGCATGCAAAATTATATGTAAAACTTATGTAATATTCGTTCGTTATTAGTTTATGACTTACTTATTGTAAATACTTATTTTTTCAAGTTTGGAAAGTTTTTTTTATATAAAAATTTCATTAAATTTTTTACAATTCATTTTTATTTAAATAAAACGCAAATTTATTTAACCAAGGTAGGTTATTCATTTAAAAGTTAATCAAAAATTACTATTCAAATGTCTGTTGCTCTGTTTTTACTTAAATTTTAGTGCAATTAATATTTTATTAAGTTAATAAGTTTAGCATTAATTTTTTTTATTAGTTAAAAGTTCACAAATTGCTATATGCTTCCATAAAATTTAACTGCTAAATTCTTCAAAATATTATTTTCTAAAGCTATGCTTTTGAAAAGCAATGTTTTCATAATCAGTTAATCATTACCTCTTTTGTAACAAAAAGCATAAAATTGAAATAATTTGCCAACCTGACGTGGTTAGTACGGCACTTATGTACCGTACTAACCTGAAATCCTTTGAATTTTGCAGGCTGCATAGAATTTATTTATTACTAGAAAAGTTTAACTCTAGTTCTGCATGGAAATCTTTTTTTTTTTTATTTTGCTTATAATGAACTTGTTTTTAAAACTCCTTTATTGTTTGTGCATCAGGTATGAACTGAAATAATGCAGAGACTTTTATTAAATATATTCAAACTTCTGCAAAAACTTTTTTTCTAGGTACCTGCCAAATTTCATTAAAAAAAAGTTTGCCCAGACACCCTACTAAACCAAAATAGGCACCTTTTTTAGACTTGATAGTTAATATAATTCCGCTAAACACGGGTAGTTAAAGGAGCCCTCCTTAACTACCTGTTATTATCATAATAAACATTTGAACATTAATGTTTATATGTATATTATGATATAAAATAATATTAAATAGTAAAGATAAAATTTATAAAATATAAAAAAAAAAAAAATTTTCAATCAAAAATTATTTTTTTTTAAAAAACCTAGATTTTGAATATATCAAAGGGTGTTATAGATGCCCTTTTAACGCCTCAAGTACGTTTTTTATGTATTCTTAATCTCATTTTTTAGACCTCTTTTTTTACATCAAGTTTTATAAACTTTTATAAGAATTGACAAAGTTGTGACATTTAAAGTTAAGAAAAACTATAAATTTGGTTACAAATTGGAAACAATTTGGAAACACTTAAAATGCTATAACTTATGGTAGAATTGTTTAATTGCAATAATTTTTTCACCTTTAAAATACTGTAATTTCCATTGATATATAACAATATAGTATTTGATTAATTTAAAAATTTTATGTCACATACCTACAAATATGTGATAGAACTTGTTTAGTAATAAATATAAATTTTAGGCACACTTTTTAATAAAAAGTGTTTACGAAAAATTTTTTTAAAAATTTTATAAAAATAAAATTCTTAAATAATATACACCAAAAAAACATACACCTATTTTCCTTTATAGCTGTAGTGTGTGCCTAAAATCTAAAATCATGAAACACAGTTATTTTTTATGTTATCACAATATAGTATTCAATTTTTCACGTCAAAAGTTTTAAGAAACAAATTTTTGAATCATAATGGTGCCATTAATATAGTTCCATATCTTGAAAGTTTTCAACATTTAAAAAAAATGTTTTTAAACTAATAAAGTTATACGATACGATATTTATTTATTTGTTTTAAATATAGAGTAACCATATTTAATAATAACCCTTTTATTTAAAAATAAAAGATCACACTTAAAACTATACCATTTTGTTGAAAGGCATCAAAATCAATAAGTATATTGAATTTGTTATGGTTGTTTCAATAGTAAAAGCCATAGTTAGAGTCCAACATTCAGAAACCTTAGGCACATAAAACACAATTTTAACTTACTAAAATTGAACGCTGGGAAAATTCTTTTCGCAGAATTTTTCGTGTTGCAAAGGAGGGATGTAGATTTTACCACTAAGTCAACGCGATTTTCTACATAATTAAAAACATTTTAATAATTTATGATCTTTTCTTTCTTTAAACGACGTCATTAAAGATTGTAAAGAGATTGCGCGCGCAGTTCAGTTCTTAAAGGTGCTTATATTTCATTATTAATTTGATTTCTGTCATGGTTTTCAAACTAACAAAAAGTTATTAAAATAACTTTGAGGTATCACGATCGGATGTGTTGTTATAATAATAACCGCAGGCCGAAAAATTCTTAGCTGATAATAGAAAAAGCGAAAAAAATTATTTCCTTTTTTTTTTAACAGTTAACTTTATTTTTTGTTACATCAAATCAAATTTTTGATTTTAATTTATATTATAATGACATTTGATTTAATTTAAGGATATTAATAATATTTTTTATTTCCGAATTTTGTTTTTGTGTAAAATAGTAATTTTAGTTAATTTCTAGTAATTTTATTTGAACATAAATTTTTTTTTTAATTATTTGCAGCAAAGTAAGTTGCTTACAAATTAAAAATAAAAAAACAACAACATCAGGTAGACAGTATTTTTTTAATCCTAAACTTTTTCTGCAAATGAATTTTAGTAAGTTGATATGAACGTTAAAACTACGTTGTACCTTATAAGAAACTAAATTTTTTGTTTTTTAGTTTCTATTATGGTTTCCTTCATTATTCTTCTATCATAAAATATTAAATTCTTTATTAGCCAAAATAATAATAGGGTAATTCAATGTAAAAGTAGGACAAAAAAAAATTTTGTCCTACTTTTTCATTTAGTGGAACTTATCACTGAAACATAAAGTTTAAAAAAGGTAAAAATGACTATATTAGCTTTTGAAAAAAAAAAAAAAAAAAAAAAAAAATGATTTGTGTAACTTAAAGGAGCTCTATGCAGCATATAAGATAAAGTAACCCAACCATAAAATAGGATTCTCCAAATTTTGAAATCTTGGACTGAAATAATGCATTCTTGTTGGCCCACAAGGTATACATTCAGTTTGTGTTTGTAAAATACACTAAAATGTTAGTTTGGTGTTAAGTTCTGTTGGACTTGTTGTCTTATAATGAGATCATTGAAATGATTGTCTTCAGCAGAAAATCAAAAGTTTGCATGATTCACATATGCAATAGTTGTCCTGGCATAAAAGCTGACCAAAATTTGCAAAAGTATTTGACACAAAATGATGATCCAGAAAAGCAATATGACAGTGATGATAATAAAAAGTCAGTGGATTTCAAACAGCGGGCAACAAGAGATGGAACTGAACTATTAACAATAAATCTTCCAATAAATGAATTTATAGATCTCCTGTGTGAAAAGCTTGATAAAATTACTTCTCATTCATTTGTAAATGAAAAAAGGAAAAGAAAACATTTATAAATTAAATGAATAATAAAATCAACTAAAAAAAGAATAAATAAATATTTTATAACACAAAAAGAAAAATAAACATCTGAAAGAAAATAAGTAAATAGAAGTTAAGAAAAAAATGAATGAAATAAATAAAAAGAATGGAAAGAAAAAAAAAAAAGCTATTTATATTTTGAAAAAAAATCAGTAAATGAAGATTTTTTTATTTTGTTTTATTTCATATATATTTCTTTAGTTTTCTTTCATATATTTTTAGGGTTCTTTATTTACGATTTATTTTTTAATTATGCTGTTATGCGGTCTTATAGTAATGTTTTTTCTTTAGTGTTTTAACGCATAAAAGTTTACTTATCATTTTTTGTTAGTCATTTATTGTTTTATTTTTTAGTTATTATTTTTAAATAGTGATATCTAATTTTTTTATAGTGTTTGTTTTTATTTTTGTTTTAACCATTTATTATAAATGTTTTATTCTACCGTGTATTATTTTACTTTTTTCTTTATTTATTATTTTTAAATTATGTTGTTTTCTTCTTGTTGATGTTGTTTTTTGTTTTTATTGCCAAAATAACTTAACGTAATTTTTTGTTTTGCTTGTAATGCTTGTTGTAAGTTTTGTTTTGATTTTCTTAGTGTTTTTCTGTTTATATATTATTTATTTACTTTGTCACATAATTTGCAATATATTTTGGTTATTATATTATAAGAAAATTATATTTACTAAATCTTTATAATTTTTTTTAGCAGTCGTTGTTTTTATGTCATTGTTAGTTGTTACGTTTTGTCAGTTTATTACTGTTTGTAACTGTAACTTTGTATGTAAAAACAATTGTTGTATTTAAAATTAAACCGATTTATTTAAATTATTTTATTTGCTATATTATTATTACTATTGTTAAAATAACATGTTTTATTATTATTATTTATTATTATTATAAATATTATCTTTATTATTATTACTATTACTATTTTAATCATCATCATCAGGTGTTTACATAATGTTAGTATTTTATACTATTTGTAAACAACCTTAAAATGTAATACCAAATATTTCAGAAATATATATTGATTGATTATATAAAAATCACAATCTAATTATATAAAGCTTGTCAAAGTAACAATTAGTATTGAAGAGGTAATTGTCTTAGTAAATTTTGAAGAAAATTTTGTAGTACAAGACAAGGTACAAGAGACACTTTTCTCTTTATCAAGTTGTGATTTATTACAAGAAAATGAGATTGGAAATATCATCTTTTTGCGTAATTTCAGATGATTTGAATCATGATGTTGAATTACAACAACAAATATTCATTTTTTTGATGGCTGTGTATTTCTTTTTATTTTTCTGATGGCTGTGTGTTTTTTTTTTCATTTTTCTTGTTGAGTTCCTTTTTTCAACAAAGAAAACATTAATTACTCCTTTAAAAAAAAATTATTTTCTCATTTTTCAACACATTTGAAAACGCAACAAAATTTGAACAATATTTTAAAACAATACCTAATTATTAACTATGGTGGTGAAAATAGTATATTTGATAAATAAAAAATTTATATTTTCAATGTATTCTAATGTAAATTATATTTTCATATTTTAAAAGATATTGAGTGTAAATATGCAAGTTATGCAGAACAATATATATTTTTTTTCTTTCAGAGACCTAAAATTTTCTAATACTTCTTATTTTGTAATGAGAGTCTGGCAACTCTGAAAATAAGCAAAACATAACCCACGGTAATAAAACAAATAATTTCACTTGCAATACTTTGAAATCGAGAAATTATTATCAAATAATTATTCAACACCTTCAAAAATGGTCTGGTACCAGTTTTCAATCATATTTCTTCACTACAATTTGAATTAATAACACAAAAAGTATAGCTATAAAGTCAAATGGAGAATGTGAGCCCAAAAAAAGGAAATTTTCCCTAAATTTCAAAATGACAAAATTCTTTATTATGCTTCAATACACCAAAATCATGTATTTCATTAAGATAGCCTAAGATCTCCTCTTTCATTTAAAAAAAAAAATGAATCCGTAAGACTTGGGTAACTCCGCTAAAAATTTGGTCAAAAAAAAGGGTGATTTATGCTGAATTTTAAAATGTCATAACTACTGAACCATTTAGAATTGGGAGTTTAAATTTTACATTTTTCTTTATTAATAGGCACCACTGGTTAATATTTAAAGAAAGTCTGAGGGGTGATTTGAGTGACCGTCCTCCTTTTGCATGGAATTACCTAGTAGTAAGTTGATCTTTTGTTTTAATTATTCACTTTTATGACACCAATATTTTTATATATGGATTTATTAAAGTAACTGACAAAATTTTATGTTTTTTTAAATTTATTTATTGTCAATTCTTATTGAAATACATATTACTTAACATCAAAAGAAAGGTCTAGAAATGGATGGGTATATGTAAATGGGGTACAACATCCTATGATATTTTGAAATTTTAAATTTGTTGTAAATAATGGTAATTTTTTTTATTGGATTATAGAATTTATATTTGCATTTTTTAATATATTCTATAAAGCCACCATTTAGGTGTGAATGGAATACACTCATACCGAATAGTGTATACAAGTAAAACAGTATTTTAAACACCCAATCCACTCATACAAATATGAGTAGGTTTGTGTTTTAAAATCTGTTTGAATTTAAGGAATAATAGTTGTGTTCTTCTACCCAATATTGAGATCAAAATTTTGTTTTCATATCTAAAAGTATACAATTTAGCATCAAAAGAAAGAAAAGTTTTTTCTTCTTTTATATTCCCTTGTATAAGTATTTCTGTTGTTGGTGAAACATTTCCAGGTCTTGTTTGTTAAATCTTTGCAGGTCTGATATGATGTAGGGTACTTATAAAGCAATTGTTTGTAATTTTTTTTTAACTTTATTTTCTGGATTCTTTTCTTTTTCAATAAATTATAATTTGTAGTTAAAATAAAACAAATTTTTTTTTTTAATTTTTTTCTTTTATTTTAATTACAAATTTATTATTTTAACTACAAATAAAAAAAAAGTTTTTAACTTGTGTATAATTTAATTTTTATTTTATTTATAGATGTGGTTAAATGACATTAAATTCATATCAAATGACTCTAAACATCTTTTGGGGATATAATTGCTCGACAGAAATATACTTTTATTCGATAATGACTAATTAAAATTATCACTTATAAGTTTTGCCCCGTATAAAGCATGAAGAAGTATTTGTAAATGAACAAAAGCAATTTTTTTAATTGTTTTAAAAAGGTTCATGACCTTCCGTACTTTCCCAGATATTAAAGTAAAACACAAATTATTGATTTAAACCTTATGAAGTTTTAAATTTTTGGATTTAACTTCTTGCAAGTAAAATGTTATTTTATTCATAGAATAAGATATTATTAAGGAATAAGATAATATTAAAATATTATTATAGATATCATAGATCTATTACTAAAAAAATTCAAAAAGTTTAAATATAATTTAAAAATTGCGGCAGCATTTATTCAGATTTAACTGCTAATAAAATTAATTGCGATGTCAATGGGCCGAGTGAATAAAAATGAGCAATTGCTATTAGTAAGCTTTACGCGAATAAAAACTTTAGCAAATTTTCTGAAGTTTGATCGATAATTTATTTGATTGTTGTTAATATGAAATGTTTTTTTTTTTTTATTATTTAATTTTTTAATAATGATAAGTATATTGTAAATAAATATTTTCCAAAAGTCTTAAATATGTATTTGAAATTAATTTCGTGTATATATTCTTTTATGATCTTTATATTTAGTTTTTATTTTAAAAAATATATCAGCTTTGCATTTAAATTTGGATGAACTAAAGTATTTGTGCACAATTCTGTGAAATAGTCAAATCTATTGTGAAGTCGAGTTTAGTTTAGATAAAATTAAACATTTACAAATATTCTGTAAAAGAAAAACTTGAAGAATTAAAAATTACTTTTTATGTAAAGCTTTATCAAAGAAATTTTCGATATAATTACTTTATTTATTTCTGTCATTAATAATAATAATATGCGGGATTGTTTTTAAAAAGTATAAAATTGTGTTTAATAAAGAGTTTATTTCTCAAGATAACTTTGTTTAATAAAGAGTTTATTTTTCAAAGTAACTTTGTTTTCTAATTAGTAAAAGTAATATAAACACATAAACGTCTAGCGCTAAAATAACTTCGAGAAAAGTAAGCCTTTTTTTAGAAAAGAATATCTTTTGACAAGAAAAAACGAGATCTCTCTTAGTTAAGTTGTTTATTTTGCATAAGATGAACAGGTTCCTAAGATGGTATAACCTCTTTTACGAGTAAACTACTGATTTTTTTGCGAATTGTTTTGGCTATATATATTAATACAAGTTGTCGAACTTGTGTTATTTGGTTGTATAGTTAATATCTTTTTATTGTTAAAAAAATTTACCACCTTTACATAATTTTTTATTATATTGTAATTAAGTCAGAACGAAACAAGATCATAAAAAATTATTATATTCTTAATATTTTATGCTTATCTACTGCTAATCCCATGGGTTATATGAGATAATACATAACCTGTTGCAATGCTAATTAAATTATGATAGTATTCGGCGAAGTTACTAACATGATACGTTTTGAGACGCTCATGATGAGATGTGGCTTTTTATTAAGAAATGCGCATTTTTTAAGTAGACCTGGGCTGTGGTGCCAATTATTAAGAACTCTGTAAAACACTTTTCTAATAATCGCTCGATAAGTCTTCTCTCTATTATTAACGAAATCGTTGAGTCTTTTTTCAACAAATTTCATCCCACCTTGACTCTAATAACTTACTCTTTAACTTCATAGTGCGCCAATAAAAACACTTGTCGAATTTGAACCACTCAATATAATTTGATAAAAATTAGTGCAAATGTAGCCAATAGTCACACCAAACTCTGGACAAAATTTCATTCTGATTAAATGTCTGGTGTAGGATTTATTGCAATTTTAGTTGAAGTTTTGTCAGTTTTTTGCTACTTATACCTCAAAGCGTTACCGATTACTTTGAAATTCGGTCACTATTTTGAAAATAACGGTTACATGAGTGTTCTACTATGTAATACCAACAATTTTTGTTATAATTATTTTATCGGTACATGTACAGTTTTCATTTTACAGACCAAAATAGTGATTTGCTATTTAAAGCGTGATTTGAATTGGCTTATGCCAATGGCGTTGACACGGCCTTCAAAATGGAGGGGGTCAACACTTCAAGTTCTAAAATAAAATCCAAAATTTCTAAAATAATTGCCTATATTTATAAAACAAAAGGTCCTCGCAAAAAAAAGTGGGCAGGCCATGGCTCCCTTGACGGCCATGTATGCATAGCGTGAATATACCAACATTTCCTTAGGTATAAACTACTGTCAGAATGCAAAAAAATTCTTAAAAAATGGTTAAGAAGGATTTCTAGGGATAGCTACATAGAAAATAAAAATATTTATTCATCTAAAAACAGAACAACTGTGAAAAAAACCAAATATTTTTTATATTGACAAAGACTTAAAAAATTTAGATATGTTAACTAAGATATCTGACCAATACAAAGTTTGGAGGGCCAGTCGGAGGAAAATTACTCTAACTGAATAACTAATTAGGTTGAAGGGTTGTTTTGAAATAAAACAACCCGTGTGACAAGTATCATTAGTTCAATAATGTAATTTCCTTACAAGTAAATAGTTTAAACAATTGTTTCCAGGTAAGGAAAGGACAAAAGTTTTACACAAACTTACTAAACAAAGTTTATTATAACTATAAAATATGTATGTTTTGGTTTTTAGGCCAAAGTAGTGCGCAGACACCATCAAGTGCTCCGAAATCGACCATTGTAGCCATTGTAAATGTGCAATTAAATACGGGCCTGTCAAACAACGGATTAAAGAAACTTGTTAGAGCTATAAATAAAACATCAAGTAGCAAGTTGGTAGAGCGAAATTTCTATATGAATTTTCCAAGACTAGGTCAACAATTGAGCGATTTCTTCACCTGCAGCGACTTAAAAATCACATGCGAAAAAACAGATTCTTGTACAGTTTATGTTGTTGCTCACTGCAATAATTTATCAAGTCTTGTGAATCATGTTATTCAGTCCCGAAAAATTTCTGGTGGCTATTTTGTTAAGCTCGGAGTTGATGGTGGAAAAGATTTTTTTAAGTTTTGCCTAAGCATTGTTGATACTGCATTAAGGGATGAAACCAGATCACCGCACCAACAACAACCTCTCACTCAAAGGACTGGTAAAGACACTGGAATCAAGAGCAAAATATTGTTGGGGTTTCAGAAGATTTGCCAGAAACACACTCCAATATTGAACAAATCTGGTCACTGATTGATGCAAATGGAGTTAAACTAATTTTGGCTTGTGATATGAAAGTTGCAAATATAATTTGTGGTCTTCAAACTCATTCATGTACGCACCCTTGCACCTGATGTGTCAAATCCAATTGTCTTGCCAAATCTGGAAACTTGCGAACACTGAGCTCAATTAATTCAAGCCTTGAGTATTTTCAGCAATCTGGCGGGGTTGTTGCTAATGCATAGCTGTTTGGCAATGTCATTCAAAAGCCAATCATCTGCGGGCCTGTCAATGTTCTGATTTTGGAAATCATTCCACCAATGGAATTGCAACTCCTCTTAAGAGTTTTCAACCATCTTTTCCTTAAAACTGCTTGGATAGAAGCTGTTAAGTGGCCAGCCACCCTCCACATTCAACTGAGTCCGTATCACGGGGGCCAGTTTGAGGGAAATGAATGCAGGAAGCTTCTTAAAAATGTAGATATGCTGCAGCAACTTGAGACAAACATGGTTCCCAATATTGTGTGCATAATTAAAGAATTCAAAAGCTTCAATTTAGTTGTCAAGGCTTGCTTTGGATACATCCTTCAGCCGGATTTCGCTGAAAAAATTGAAAATTTCAAAAAGTGTTACCTAATGATAACTGGTGCAAGCGTAACATTCAAAATTCACGCTGTCTTCTACCACATTAAGGATTTCATCAGTCACAAAGGATCCCCCTAGGGGCCCTATAGTGAACAAACTGTCGAAACTTCTCATCAAGATTTTTATCAAAATTGGTCGAGGTGTAAACAAATTAATAATCATCCAGAGTACGAAGAAAGATTGTTGCGCTGCATAAGTGATCTAAACAGTAAGCATCTTTAAAGAACATTATTTGAGTTATTAGAAATTAGGCTGCTGAAATTCATATTTTACGGCGTATAATGAATATTTTTACCATCTTTAAAAGTAGTATTATAGAGTATTTGTATTAAAAGAGTACATTGAGCTATTTATTAACAATCTTTTGGTGGAGAAAATCAAAAAAACATTTCGTAAAATGTAATTAGATATTTGATGGTAATACAATTTAAAAAATAGGGTTTAAATAGTTTTCACTTTATTTTAAAAGTAAATGTATTTAAGGAGGTTAATACAAAATATTTCAGGAGATCTACATTTTATTTAGTTTTACTAACTGGTAGTCCTTTGACCAGATTTTGCATTTTTTTTAGTTTTTTTTTTGGCAACAGTTTATATCTTAGGAAATGTTGGTATATTCAAGCGAAGCATACATGGCCGTCGACGCCGGGGAGGCGAGGGGGTCATGTCCTTCTCTACTTTTATTTTGCGAGGACTTTTTGTTTTAGAAATATAGGCAACTGTTTTAGAAATTATGGATTTTATTTTAGAATTTGAATGGTTGACCCTCTCCACTTTGAAGGCCGTGTCAACGCCATTGGCATAAGCCAATTCAAATCACACTTTAAATAACAAATCACTATTTTGGTCTATAAAATGAAAACTGTACATGTACCAATAAAATAATTATAACAAAAATTGTTGGTATTACATAGTAGAACACTCATGTAACCGTTATTTTCAAAATAGTGACCGAATTTCAAAGTAATCGGTAACGCTTTGAGGTATAAGTAGCAAAAAACTGACAAAACTTCAACTAAAATTGCAATAAATCCTATACCAGTCATTTAATCAGACTGAAATTTTGTCCAGAGTTTGGTGTGACTATTGGCTACATTTGCACTAATTTTTATCAAATTATATTGAGCGGTTCAAATTCGACAAGTGTTTTTATTGGCGCACTATGAAGTCAAAATTTGACTTAATTTGAACAATTAAATTAAATTATTTTCCGCGGACAAAATTAAATGATTTCGAATTTTGCAGGGTACCTTGATGTGTACGCTAACTTTCCGCATAAGTGGCGTTCTTGGGACAGCTAGGTAGGCATTATAAGGATCCGTGCAAACCGTGATAATCTAATGGAAAATTTAACAAA